AAAACTCGCTTGAAAGTGGTTCATGCACACGTTAACGTTTTTTTAGTGAATCTATAAGTGTTGCTTACGTCTGGATGCCTGTGCCTACACTGCATATGTGCCTATGATCATGATGATTGTGTTATATCCAATCGAACGCGCGGAAGTGATAACACCTTACTTCTACTGTTTCGCTATTTTGTTATATGGTTCGCCTTGTGCCTACTCTACGGCTTCCTTTGTCTGGCTAACGCCCGAATCCTAATAGCGCTTCATTCGTTCATGCGCGTTTACGCAAAAGGCAGCTTAATCTGCAGCTCCTGGGTGAACATATATATATATATAATCTTTCCCTTCCTGCTTGCCAGATCCTCTGCTACGAAACAACGTCGTCTGGCTTGTTGACTTGCTTGCGTAATGATATATATCTCTCTGGATGTGAGCGATCAAAGTAGTTGCACCGACCATTAAACTATGGTCTGTCTGCTGCCAACCGTAAATGCCTTGAGGCCCACGCTGCTCCCCAACTATAGCCCGCGCCCCACAAGGGAGCATGATATGCAGCAGGCAGTGAGGTGAAACCCTGTTGGAGATCTGTCTTCCTTTCAGATCTCCGAGACGATTAAGCACATACGGCTTATAAACACATTATAGCGATCTGACAGCGAACGTTTTATTATCCGAACCAGTTTTCTGCTTTTATGCAGTTAGACGAGCGCACTCGCTGCCGGTGCTGGTTACCTCGTTCCCGTCGTGTTTTCATGGTTTCGTCTTCGACTAGCCAGTCGACCAATGAGTTAGCTTTCAACTGTGCTTTCTTGCCCTTTGTTCGCTTCCGTTGCAATTTTTCAATGAGTAGTAGAGGAAAAGAGCCTCTGATGTCACGACGTTTCGGTAGTTTTTCTGCTTATGTCCTTGTTGAAATAGAAACGAGGAACAGGAACTGATGAATGAACATTGATCACCGTCAGCTGAAGGGATACCAGTTCTCATAAAATATCCGCATCCAGCGAATTTCGCCACGAACGGAAAATGGCGAGGGTTCCTTTTTTGTGAGGGCTGCCGAGGACGAGTTGCAGTACGCTCGATTTTAACCAGCCAAACACCTTAGCGTCACGACTCCGACAGTGTATGTGAAATGCAAAGAATTCTTCGGTAACAGACTGAGGTCGTTTGAGGGTGAGAGACTAATGACAAGTAACGATTCAGCGGGGATCAACGTTGGCTGATGACCTTTTATGGGTGATGGTAGGCCCTATGCATAGTGGGTGGAGTGGGTTACAAGGACAGAGTGAACAGCCGCAGCGGTACTAGCAGCAGGCCATGGCCTCGAATGCTCAGTAACACCAGCAGGCCAACCAAGCGGGCAACAGATTGAGAAAGGGCCCAGGACAAGTGAGATATCGCCTCATCTCTCATGGACGACGAGCGGACTGGCACGCCTGCACTCTGTTCACTAGCGCTGGCCTCCACCCGCGGAGAATGCTACCCTCTCCTACACTGTTTCTGTGAGGGACCTTCTGATCCGCTTTGCCATAAGTTGGAGCGAAGCCGAGGCTGCTACTAGTTTCCGTGAAAGCACTTTACCGTCCGGCAATCCAACATCAGGGTTAGGACCAAAGTCAGGGGCCGTCTCCAGCGCAACATTCGCTGGTCGCCGACGATCATAGTGCTCAAACCAGTCGACACAGCAGCTTGTGAACGGGGTGAGTAGTCTCTCGACTCGAGGGCAGAAGGAATATTAAGACTCTCAAGTTTAAGATACACGAACGAGCGTCTTTGGTTTGGGTCGTTTCCTCTTTCCTAAACTGTGCACCGAAACTGCGCTCCGTGGGGTCTGATTATCGGCCCCTCAAATGGATCGAAAAGAGGATTTGTGGCGGGAGTGTTGTGACTGTTGGAACTTCTTGGAAAAATGTTGGGACCGGAGACTTCTGAAAAGTCTAGTAGCTCGCGTCGACAGCGAGGACACAGCCGATGCCCGTTGTCGTTGTCTCATTAAAGAAGCGACCACACGCAAAGTATCGAAACAAACAGCACTAGGTGTTTCGAAATACAAATCCGCTGCTGTTTAAAAGAGAACAATTGATTAGCTAACGGCCGCGGTAAACGACGCACAAGTTATTCCGGTTAGATTTGAGATTTATCCGAAAAGGTGTGCGTGTGTATGTATGCATATGGGTATTAGTTATTGGCGAGATGTTCGTAGGAAGGATCTCGGCAAGGCATTTTGCAAGAATACCAAAGGCAAGGACGAACCACGTTACTGATGAGTACACGAAGCTGGCATCCAGCTGAGACATATAATATTATAAATATTAGAGAAGATAATGGAGAAATTACGAATTCCCCGACTGACGGTGAAGGACTGTTTGGGTGGAAGAACGAATACAACTTCTGACGAGAAAAATGATCTCAGCCATTTCGGGATGTGGTTATGCTAAAATTGACAAATCAATAGCATGAGATAGTATGATACTATATATTCACTTTCTGTTTAAAGGGTTTGGTACAGTTTTTAAAAATGAGACGTATGAGTAGCACTAATTCTCTGAGTAAACCCGGTAGTCTCTGTGAACAAAAATTCATATTCTGACATCTCTCTTAAAAAATGGTTAGTTCTTACCGAGGCACAAAGAATTCAGATTTAAGGGTCCCACTAAAAACATTTTACGTCTAGTAACACATTCTGTTGCAAATCGTTGACCTAATAATAGGTCGTTACTGGCACGGTTCAACAGCATTTATATGTACGAAACAAGAAGTTCGAAAAAAACTACTAGCATTTCTTCTTGAAATATCGAACTATTTGTTTAATCAGATAAAATAAGCGCCACTGAGGCGGTATAGAATCCTCACAGGGTGCTGATTTTCCCCCTAGCCAATACCTCTATTCCTGCACGGAAAGGCACTGGGGGGAAAAGGGATAACAACTCCAATGCTTAATGCTAAAGGTAACCAATAAATCGCAGTTACGTCATTTCTAAAAAAACTTTTCAGGAGTATTGTGCAACAACTAAAACCTATAACTGTACCTGATAAAGAATAAATGATTTTTTATGTGCGGCTAATTTGTTGTACTCTTTCTATTTTAATTTTTGGCGTATTTGCACAGTTCCCCTGCTGGTCACTTAATTTATTTAGAGATTAAAGAACTAAACAAGATAGTTTGGGGCATGGAAGACGAAGAAAATGATCGAATCTTCGTAATATTCTTCGTAGAAAACATAAAATATCAAATACTCGTTTCCAGTATCTAAAAAAGCCCGGCTTAGCGATTTTCCCTAATACTAGCACGGCATTATAACCGCAGTACTGATTGCGGTAAACAAAGCTGAGAAATCCAGCTAAGAAGTCGTTAGTTGTTAACGAGAAAGTTTACACTATTTTTGTGCTTTGAGTCCCGCACTGGGCTACTTAGGTATTGTTTTAGACGGCTACTAGCCCTACCTAGCAGGAAACGAGGTGTGTTTAGATCTGCTTCAAAATCTAGACGGCCTCATGTGTATCTAAATTTTGTGGACTAATACGTCACTAGTACATCACCATGTGAAGCGCTAGAAAGTCTACAGAGCAGATTCCACATGTGTTTCAGATCGTAATGTATTTTCATATTGCAGCTTGGCAGTACAGAAGCTCTCACACCTCTGCTTGCGATCCATTTAAAAAAATGATAAAATATTTACTTCGTATTCGACTGAGAACTACAGAGTATGATACTTTTCAGTATGAAGAGGTCAAAACATCGTTTTATTTTCAACCTATTTATGACCATAGTTTTGTCTTGTGAGGTCAATGCGAGTATCATGGTTATGACACCATATAAAGACTGTTCGAAAGAAACACTTTAATTGATGAAGTAGTTACTGAAAACTGTCTTTACAATGTACGCGTTTACCACTTTGAAAAATTAGAAACGGTGACAAACAGAAGAAGAGTAAATGTCATTCGGGAAATGTGTTGAGGAACCTTCGTCGTCCTATACGCGTTTAAACGTTTATCTGCAATAATTAGTGGTTGAAAATATGTTCGATAAGCAATGTGGGGTTTAAAAAATGAAAGGATGAGCGTCGGTTACCTACAATGTACAAAGTAAAGCTTGTTCAATCTAGACGGTGCTGTGCAGCTGCGCTACATAGGTAAGCTCAGGAGAATAATTATAAGATGAGAAGAAGAGATAAGTGCGAAGAAACAATGCATATGGTTATGCAAATACCTAACTCAATAATCCGCTCGTCCATTTTCTAAAATAAGCTAAAAAATATTCTACATTCTATTCCCTGCTAGCGTTTGCTTTCAAAACACTCACAAAGGAACAATTAAAAATCGAATCAAATATGAAAACAAATTTTTTATTTATTGATGGCGTATTTACAAGATGGGCGGATTTATGGGAGTCATAAGATCATCCAAGTAGCAACTGTAATAATAAAAATAAAAAAAAAATAGGAAAATACTGGTAACGAAGTTCGTCTGATGAAGTGGCTTCCGACATCAAGGAAACTTTTCAGTCAACAAGTTCTGTCATCTCCCTTGTTTGTTAGCTCAATTCATGCGTTCCTCACCGTTCTCGCCTCCTTCCTTCCCTGCCGTTTTCTCCACTTACATATGTTTTATTTTTAAAATTACCCACCAAGCATATATGAAATTGCGTTTTAACTGGAGGTTTTTATATTTGTAGGTCTTAGGGAGTTTATTCTTACGCCTATGACTATAAATTATTATAATGAAAAATAAACAGGAAATCCGAACTATGAGGTCGTTCTAGTCGCACACAGCTATATGTGAAGTGAGGATCTTGTAGGCACATGTTTTATTTATTTGTAAATAATGATATTATTACGGCGAAATGAAAGGCAATTTTAGCAAATATTACCTTAGAATTGCAGTTAATACTTCCTGAAGTTAGCTGAATATAATAATCAAGAATGTTAGAGCACCGACTTAGATCGATGCATTTATTAATTCGGCTGAACGTGCAAACGGTGTTGCTAAGTTACCTTTTTCTTTTTTTTTTTTTCAATACTTTTTGTCGAAATCGAATTTGAATATCTAGATTACGTTTTACTCTGCTAAAACTCTGACGTTTTTGGTGCTACTAATGCGATACGCTCCGACCATAATCATTCTGGTCTTAATTGCAGATCTTTTCGAAAGATACGCCGATCTCCTGCACGAGAAGGAACAAGTCTCATAGATCGTCGGTTCGGGCCTTTACCACCGACGAAGTTGAGAGACGAACGCCGTCAGATCTCCTTCCGTTTAAAAAAGTCTATTTATAAGCAGGAAGATCAGAGTGGCTACCGACAAAATACTAGAAACCGTCAACGAGTTAGCTGCGCAGACCATTCCTTCGTGCGTAACGGTATACGGAATCGCAAAGGGTGACTGGCAAAATTCGTCTGGAGATAAACCGAACAACAAGGGATAACACGTCAGAGGCAGACATACGAAAAATAAACGTCGTCAAAGCTACACCGTTTTCTAAATATATCTCCAACATTTGGATGGCTGATTCATTATATGAACCCTTGCAATATGCAAGAGGGTCGTGTTTGCCTTAAATATTTCTAGGCATTTATATGCTTAGTAAATTGTGTCTAGGTTTAACCCAGTACCCAGACGCTAAAAAGGCACTCATTATTTGGGTGAATTGAACTGGGATTTGAAACATAAAGCCTCATTCTTACCTCTGCAGGCCCTCGAAATTGTTCTACCCCGACCGCCGTAGGAATCGTCGATTCCGACAACAGCGAAACGGATCGGAGCGCAACTTAAAGGTCCCAGTCGACAAGGACTTGAATAATTAAAGTAGATTTCGCGGACTACAAGAACAATACAAATAGTAACGGTTAATGAGGTGTTAAGTAGACACACCGACGGTTCGTACTTTTTATGATAAACATTTTCATACTCAATTTAATATTTTCTGTTCGGTCTAGAATCAGTAACTTTCAGTAAGTAAAGTCATTTTGTTAGTCAATCTAACTAAAAGCACATATTGTATAAACAAAAGAGCGCTAAGAATATTTAGTGGCTCCCGGAAGTGTTTCACTACTGTGCCATCTCAGAGAGGTTAGTCTAACTCGTCAAATAGAAGGCTGTTGATTAAAATGAAAAAATAATTTTTGAATCAGTGTATTTTATTATTCTGTAAAAGAAGTAAACCGATGCGACTATAGATGTAAGATAGGATCTAATATTTATTAAGCACGATACAATAACTCCATAGCAATACTTTAGTTGGAAGTAGCTTTTATTCAGTGTGGTACGCGATACAAATCGCTGATAGTATAGAAATAACTTATACAAGTTTTGGGATTATGGATATTCGATCGTTTCATATCGGAAAGATATCGTCAAATGCGCGCAACCAAAAAAATCTATTAGGTATTCACAGTTCGGCACTGATTGGTGATATTTTTTTTATAGTAAAATAACGTGTCATTATTATTGTTAAATCGAAAAATACGTGTTCTATGAATTGCCAAATTGTTAGTAATTCGCTACCTATATCTTTTGAGCAGAATTAGTTTCGCTAAAGGAGCCTACCTCGAGTTATTCGAATAGTATCATATGGTTCATATCACAACTTCTAGAAGCTTTATTTGGTTTTTTTAAATCCACCAAAATCTTTAAAATTGACACCATCAAACCTAATGTAGCCCATTTCTCTGCATGTGTAAAATAAATCGCTAGAGGGCAAATCTCATAACTGGTAGTGAGTGTCCTACATTTACGGTCATCTGTCAAATACATATTTTCCGCCCCGCATTGTTAAGAATAGCTGGCCCCTTCTAGCACGAAACGAAATGTATCAACGCCCTATTCCCACATTTTTCAGGACAAGCGCACCCGGACACAATTCCTAAATGGTCCATTGTGGGATTCAAGTGTGCGACTACCATTAATAATGAAGGCTAATCATGCTTCGGCGCTCTCCGACCTAGATCAACTCACTGTGTCCCCAAGTCTACGCAAGCAAGCAACACTACCCCATCACGTAGACTATTTCCATCCTATAGCCGTATTATCACCCTTTCGTAGAGTTTATTAGGTTTTTGGCCTTTGTCTACCAAAGTCAGTCCAAGAATTAAAGGAAAGCGCAATAACTAAGTGAGCCATCTATATGATATCATAACCAATGAAGTTATTGTATCATGCCGGGTGCAAAATAGAATCGACATCTTTGTTGATCGACGGACAGTCTTCGGGCAGAAAAACATCGCTGTCTATTGAATGATCAGATATGATTGAAGATCTACATTGAATCAACACGGTTTCTTTTGACGGTTCGACTTAACAAATCTGTAGCGTTGTGTCACGTAAAAATCCGTGCATGAGTTATCGCACATTGGGCTTTGTCAAAGTCGTGATGTTCTCTCGTGGACCTTCATTGTGAGGTCCATAATCAAAATACTTCTCGTCTCATTTTTGCTGTGCTAACTTGTGCACAACCCACCTTAGTGTTTATACTTACAATTGTTGTTTGTTTCCTGGCAAATGAAGGGCCGGCCATCATCTTCCTTTTGATGATTGTCGTTCCGCTTATTTTTATTTACGTTGATGACGGTACTTCGATTCGAATTGCTATTGCTGACTAAAGATTGGTGCGAAGGCACCCCTCGATTATAGTTGTATTTCCAAGACGCATCGCAGACGCGGATGTTTCGGCCGGGAGCAGGAGTGAACTAAAATAAAGGAAAATGAGGAAAAGGAAAGCTACATATGAAGACACATATATAAAAATGTATTCACGTAAAATTCCGAACCTTCGGCTCACAACGCAACTTGGCAAGGGAGTGCGTCGACGAGTCTGGCATGTCGTGACATTTTTTGGCAAGCCATATTGCCATAATAGAATTTGAATGCCATCGATGTTTTTGCTGTTTTTCGGCATTCCAGTTAAAGGTATCGCAGATTCAGTGAACTTTCCTGCATTCTATAATAGCTTGTCTATATATTGGTCTGTATTAATCGAACAGATCATATATGGGTGGTCATACCCCGAAAATGGCCTCTGCAGGCCAATTAATGTTCTAAGCGGACGCGATGATGCGTTACGTTTCAGCAGGTTGATACGCACCTTGATACGCATATTTTTGCTTTCGAAAAAGTATCGCGTGTCATAGGAAAGAAACTGGACGCGTTGAGGTTCGATACCCGCTGAAAAGTAACTTGGATCACTTGACGCGCCACGCCGTTGTATTGAAGGCAGCCAGTCTGGACGGCAAGTCGGGTTTCGCAAGTTTAGTCCTGTCTCACATATCGACTGCTGGATTTCACTAAATAAACCGCCTTGGCCAGTAAAGGTCCTACCAGGTACCTGTACCAGGGCATCGATTTAATCAAACGTTAAATATAACAGTGTACTAGCTAATCAAATAAGTAGTTACTGTTTAACTTGCATAACTTGCATTTCTCAGTCGAAAGTACGAATCAAAATAATTATTTCGAATGTTATAAAGAAAGTGCGACATTCAAGAAAATTGCAGCACGATCTCTTACAGAAAGCTCTTTTGCTAGGTCGTTGAGCTCATAGGCGCTCAGCGCTTCAGAGTAGCTGCTGAGCGTGCCGAGCTGATCTCCGATACCGATAATCTTTAGTTCGGGGTTCCCGATACGCAGGCGAAACAATGCTTCTCTCATTGCTTCTCGATCAACGATTGGATCGTCGGTCATGCGAAAGTATAGGATTACCTTAAACGTTACAAAAAACCTGTTAGGGAAAGGTACATATATATATTCAATTTAATAATATTTCAGTACGCTAAAGGGAAAAAGGAAAACCTAATGAGCTTATAGATCCCAAAACAGATGTACAAAGTTCCGTAAAACAGGTTGTTGGCGTAACAGTTGCTAATGTTTCTACAAATCTAGCTTTGAATATCAGCACATAACGCATGCACTATAGTTTATTATTATTATAACTGCTGATCTGTTCATCGTAAAACGTTTTATCCTCTTTGGTGGTCAAACGCTGCAATGTGATATGAATGGTCTATAAATATGGTCACCTGTTCGACTATTTACCATATGTAGTCGTCCGCAGCGACCTACTTACTTGAGCTGCTGAGGCTGACTTTGGAGTCCTCGCTAGCGACTCCTTCTCCACGCGGAGCGTTTCATTAAGCGCATTGATTAAATCGGCGTCAGACTCGCTGCCATAAGCTGAAACGAGGCATGGAAGCAACGTCTGAGTCGATTAATTGAACACAGGGTTTTTTTTTTTTGGTAGCAATGCTTTCGATGTATATTTGTCAGTATAATGGTGCTGAAAATTTTTACTTTTATGAAAAACCATAAAAAATATATCCACGTGCCACCTCGGCTTCGTATAATTACTGTAGTTTTGGACTGGCAAGCAAATACTATACTTCTACAGCCAAATGGAGTTAGTTAGTTAGATAGTTAGCACAATAGTGTTATTATACTTCCCTCCTCCTGTTCAATATCTACAATGACTCCTAGCATATCAAGAATTCAATATATGAAAATCTCTACCAAGGTCGCAATGTAACTGTTGTTCATTGATAACCTTCACACTGATCGAGTGACCTTTACATACTTGTCGACACGAATCTATCGAGATATTGTGCAATGCAAGCAGGACAACCGGACGATGCTATGTTGGGGCTTCCACGATCAGGAATCCTCAGCAGGGTAGACCCAGATCGGCCGGCAAAAACTTGGACCGCATTACGGGACCGATGAAACTCCATGCCGTTTAGGATTCGTCTAAGTGCAAACATTAGTAGGTTAGAGCAGGCTTGATAAAAGAATATACGAAGTAGACTGCTGAATAATTTAAATGAATAAAACACAAAACTCGACTACTGACACACAAAATAGAGTGAACTACCGTTAAGACTCTTTGAGATCGATCAAACTGTCAGGATGATGTGGTGGTCTAGATTAGAATCTGGGCATAGACGCATTTCGTTTCATGCTCGGAGTCAGCACTCTGATAGTACAGGGTAAACTTAAGTTATATTCGATTTGTAAAAACGACCTAGTCTAATAAGTTAACGGACAATTTGCCACAACTCAGAACTGCACACATTTATAATCCAGTTACAGTGGAGTAAACAGATCTATTTCATTCGACGAGGTTTGCTTAAAAGTGAGCTGGACAAATTGTCAGCGAGTTTATCGGTAACGTTTCCCAATACAAGTTAAGTTCCAACATGTCAATCAGTAGATGTTACCCGAGAATATCCGCTTGAAGATTTAGCTTAACCACGTCTCGCAAGATGCGGGTGTCGAGAAGAACATACACATCGGCTACTCCCCAGCATTGTTCTACATTAGAACCGCTACGCTGGCACATCCCTTCGTTCAAATCTGTATTGTCGGTCACAGAATCTCGCAACATCAAAACATGCCAATATGGTTTTATATAAGAGGTCATCAGTTTGAACCCTCTAAGTCTACTGGAAAAACATATCTACGGAATGTATATTACACTTGAACGCTGTTGTCAGCCTAGGGTTCTTCACTAAAACTTGTAGTTAGTAAGCCCTCTCCAATTAAATGTATGAGATTCTTTAAGGTAGATACTTCAATGGGCCCCGCAATGTGATACTGAATTTTTCAGTACATAAGCATAGCAGAGAATCACCCCATTGAAATATATCGTCATATATATTACATCGAAAAAAGCATCGACACTGTCTAAAAGGGTCTTTACCCTTCATACTGTCGTCAAAGCGTATGCTGTTGTAAGCATCATTCACGTAAGCATCTATGTCGGGGTTAGTTTGGAAGGATAATCTTCCTCCGGAGGAATTCTCAGGGAAAAAGGTACGGCCATCTTTGATTGCCAGTCCGTAAGCCATGAGTTTTGCCTGTAGACATACTTTTTCTCGTGTCGTGATCTTATGATAATTAGTCGCACGATCACAAACGCTTAGGCGAGCTGTCGGCAGCACAAGAAAAAGTCTTAGTTAGCATTGACTTTCAAAAGTAGATATTAACAAGAAAGAAGTCAGCTGGTAGAAGAAGTAAAAAAGACAGCTAATTATGCATCAATGATCGGTACAAAGCATTTAATTAGTTAAGACATTACCTATGTGAGAACTGTAAAATTGATCGAAAAAACGATACCTTGCTACCGGCGGTATCGGATATGTTCATAAGAAAGACGGTGTTACCGTAGTGAGCTTTTTCAACGAACATAACGTTGAGCGCTTCATTTTGCTCTTTATTTAAGTTCGGCTAAAGTATATAGATGGGCAACTTTTCATCAACGTGTTTTGGTGTGTCTTACGTACTGTTTCCGCTTTGAAGTTGAACGAAGTTCTGATTGTTTGAGTAATACAGGCGAAGTAGTTCCGCAAGGGAGAGTCTGTCAACTATTCCACCGTGTGCTGATTTCAGAATGGTTCCCAAAATTAGACCTAAAATAATACAAGCAGTTAACCATGCCGTTCGCTAGTATGTATCAAACAACGCTTTACGATGACAAAGAAAAGCGATATTTATTTATGCGTTTCGGCTCTCTCAACTGTTACTCGTTGTCCTTAATTGTATAAGGATATGAAATGATTTATGCCTTTTTCGTTTCACTCGTTATCGTTAATCAAAGGTAATAATAATCATTTATTTGGTTATTACTGGTTTCTTTACCGTCAACAGCGCCCATTAATTGCGAATTCGTTAGTCCTACAACCCGTTTTTGTGGGTTGTTCAGCTCAAATGACGTAAGACATCCGCTACGGTTCCACTGGCCGGATATCAACATGCCATCATCAGTTTGTCCGGGAATATTCCCGTGTAATTTCTTAAAGAAAGCCTCGAAGCCCAGTTCTTGGCCTAACGTGCCCATGATAAGAGCATTCATTTTCGTGTTAGAAGAATCCTTGCTGAAATAACTATGACAGCAGATCACCAAATGAAAACAACGGTGGTTAAAAATTAATGTTACCTGGTTTTTTGTCCCCCTTAAAACACGTTTTCCGAAGTTTCGTGTAACAGATACAGGAACACAGATAGGCAGATAGAATATTATTAACACAGATAGAATATTAGGCAATTTTGATGTACCTGAGGCAGTGCAAAGCTACGCTTAACGGCAGTACCTAATGTAAAATTTGAGATATCTAGTTAGGCCTATCAGCACGGAACATAATTAGGGTCGTGAAGGACCTTATTAAAATGTTGTACGAGACCAGTCCGATATGGCTGAAGCTCCGCTAGCGAGCTCGTATTTTTATGAGGCCCATCAGAAAATAATTCCATTCTTCTAAGTCATTTTTAGGTGATGACGACTTTTCGATCAGACTAATCTAGCCTACTAAGTTAATGTATTCGGCTTTCCGTAACCCTATACCTTGTTCCAAATCTCTTGCTCTATCTGAAGAGCTAAAACCTGCGCTTTAGAGAATTTGAGCTTGAGAAAAATCTGGGCTTTGATATGGGCGTGAAAGAAAATTCGTCCAAAAACTGCTAGAACCTTGGCTATTTGTCAAATTTGCATTCAGTCATTTTGTTCTCGAAAGCACTTCTTTAGATTTTCCAAACTATTATCGAGTTATCGAGCTTCAATTTAGGTTTTAGCTATTCATTCACGTACTAAAAAGGTCGTTGCGTTGGCTCCTTCTTTCTCGCTATCAACCTTATGTAATACAGTGAAATAGTCACATAATCGGCAATGACATTTTACTGTCTTTTAACCCACTTTAATGGCCTCAATAATTCTAACGTCCACTTTTCATGTGTGGGGGCCATTTCAGACAGTGACAGCAGCAGTTCCTATCTATAGAAAGAACTCTTGCAGTGGCGGGCCCAGCTGACGCTTCATAGAATCTGCAATCCGTGTTTTGCCCTTATGCCAAATTGGTTTTCTGATTAGAACAGTTTGTCAGCTTCGAAGAGATATAATAATGAAAAAGACTGTCAAAACTATTGCCGATTTTCATTTTCCTCCTCTGTGCACACCGCCTATTGTCTCAGCTGTGTATTCCCCGCAGCTGTAGCTTTTCACTCAGACCATTCGATCGCACTGAGAATCCTTCGTTGGAACGTGAGGGAACGCACAACCATCGAGGGAAAAATGATCCGACAGGTTTCAATTAAATAATATGTGTACAGTCTAAAAGCTGCCTAAATTACATTTTCTTGAAGTTAATAGTTAAACGCAATTTTAAGTTTGTACGTCATACTCGTTCACTTACGGTCCAGTTTGACGGAACAGGGATTTTTCCGCCCCATCATATCTAGCGGCAGCGATGCCCATGAGTACGGGCGCGACAGAAACTGCATCGCCTGGTCGTCCAGTGATGCTTACGACACCCTCTTCGCGGAAGGTACATACTTGAGCGCCCGAAAAATCTTGAAGGGCTGATTGATCTATACGGACATTTGGAGTTCCACCCCGAACTTCAGTTTGTGACCCAACGAAATTGGACCCGGGTCGTTGGCCACGTTGGCGAGTAAAGCTGAAGCAAGCGTAATTGGTCTTATTATCAAATGCTTGCTTGTGGCATATATATGTCACAGTATTCAGCTTCAAAGCTTTTTTTGCCATTTGGTCGACTAGCGTGATTGATCATACCTTTGTAGTTGGTACGGTGAACGGGGGGAGTAACTAAAACTGTTGTCGACATTTGTCTGCGATATCGAACCGTCCGCATATCTTTGCACAGCGGCTACGGAGCATGTTTCATTGACGGTGTGACTGAGAGAATACATCATAAAACACGCGTCATCATGTCCGGCGTCATCGTGATCGTCGCTGGCCAGAATCTGTAACACAACAGGTTGAAACGAGGACGCACGGTCCGCGCTAGCAAGTACAAAATATGGCATAAAGCTGCATTTAGCACTTGGAAATCAAAATGAACTTGTCTCGTTCGAGTGCACAGATGAATGCATCTGTAGGTTGGTGTTACAACGACGTTTATAGTTAAACATGTATTACGTTGGTAGAAACGTCCATTTCCTCTTCCCATTTCTTCTTCTTCAGCAACAGTAGACCTAACCCTTTGCCTGCTAATAACTGTAAACTTATCCCTATACTTTTTCTCACTTATGAAGTTGTACTTCTTGGAAAAAAGGATCAAACTGAAAGCACTTGCCTGCTTTATATATATATACATATATATAATGTGATTAATTGTCGCTTCAGATCAATGACAAACATCAGCGTAGTGGGTATAATAAAAGGATAATACTATATATACATATATATATTATACAGAGCCAGTTATAAGCATGGACTTTGCCTCTTCTTCGTAATCGTGACCCGTTGCGCTAGCAACAATATCACTAAAGAGTCGTTCGATAAACTGATATCTGTGTCGTCGACTAGCTTCTTGGTCAAAACGATCAGTTGATTCGGGCAGTTTCCAGTCGGGCATAGAGAACCTGAAACAGAAAATGGAACGTATAGACCATTTCGTTAAGCCTATTAGGAATAACTGGGTTAATATAGAAGTTAGATTTGACCGCAAGCGTGCTATTTTTTGGAATGATTACCAAATGTTCAATACTAACCAATGTAGCAATGTGATAGCTGTCTTATCAGCAATGGCATCGCTCTTAAAAGCCGCCTTCTCAATTTGGTCAACCTTATCGATGAATGACTGCATTGTCATTCCGTTTGGGATAATTTGACCTTGAGTGAGTGGTCTCTCAGTGTGTTTTGTTTTAGAATAGATGCATCGATTAAAGCGTCTGTTAAACGAAGCCATTGAAGCGAGAAGTTCCGCGGACGGTATGAGCCATATAATGGCCAGTGCCCCGACGACACCAACTCCGTAGAGGTTTCGCGTCATCTACGTTATCTGCTCCTGCAACTTCTTCTCTTCCTGTAAAGTTTGAATAAATACAGAGTTATCTATTATCATTAAGGTGACTACATAGAGTTTTCTAGATTGCGAATAGACGGCTGGGAGTTAACACGCAGAAAATCGAAGGAATCGGATCGGCTACTAGTACAGCCACAGCTGGAATACTTAACAGGTTCATAGATTTGCGATCGCACTGACCGCAGACGCAGAATTTTTCGCAGCAGACGTCGAAAGAAGATCGAGTAAAGCGCTCATATTCCATTAAGTCCATTAAAAACTCGCGAGGGCTCTCAGTTTTTCGAGCTGTCTTCAAATCAAAATAGCACTAAGGGCTTCCTGTAGCATATAAATAAAGCCACTTGGCGTGTATTCAGGATTGTCCTGCAAGATCAAGCCTACTTTCGTGAAGAAAATTTAGATTTTCGAAAAAAGCGGCTCTTCTACTTCCTTGCAGGTACGCCATTCTTCCTTGACGAAAAAGCACCGAGTGCTTAGGAATCCGAATATATACGGCTGATTGTATCTGATTCACAGGAGCTGTGCGAAGTTGACCTCGAGCTTTTTAATACGAAAAGGATCGGTAGTCATGAATAAAAACGTATGTATAGAATGAAGCACTACGTAATATAGTAGCTAGATACGCGGTCCGTGGGTTTGTATTTTGTTCGTTTTGTATGACGAACCGTTAGCACGATCTACCGAACAGTGAAGTACTTCAATCAACTTTTTTCTCTAATATGACCTATATTTAAGAAGCGCTGCATGCTTCAGCTTAGCTTGACCGATCGGGTCGTACCCCGTTTTCCTAGACGAATCTTTTTTCTAGCAAGTAATTAGCAGAAAGTGTTTATAAAGGCATAAACATTTAACGATAACGGTATTTTTTTAATTTCAGTTCTTATGTATTTAACTCCAGTAAAATCGGTACTTGAATCGTTTTGTTCAGCTATTGTTGTTGTCTCAAGCTAGTAGACCTAAGTAATCGAACATTAATTCTATGACAGAATAAAGATAGAGTTCCCTCCGTCCTTTTAGGGTTACACCCCTTACAGGGTGTCCAATAAGCGATATGACAATGATTTTAAGGTTATCTTTTTTTTGCCATCTCTCTCTCTCTCTCCCGTCTCTTTCTGTATGTGTGTGTCTCTATATATACAGATATGTACATTTTACTAGGAAGACTTGTTTTAAGACAAGTACTAAGCAACACTTAATAGGGGTGGTTATTCTTGCTTTGGGAATGATGTAGCTTCTGTGTTGCGCGCATAGTACTGCATAAGGTATCGGTAGAAGACTTCTACTCAACGCCACACGCATATGTTACGTTGCGCGTTCTGATAAGCAACGCCTTCTTAGTGGTTCTATAGATGTGACGACCGTGTCGTCGTATTTGAACATATTTACATGTAAGAACGGGTTATTTCGTCAATGTTGAAAAAATCCTGCGAATTTCCTGAACGACTAGAGGGCGAACAGCTGTATTGTTCAAGGCCGAGGCCTACGCAATGCCTTACGTCGCTACAATTTAACTCGTTGCTGTGAATATTTGTTCGATTAATTACCCCTGAACAAATTTAATATATTACATAGCCCTCAGGTACACGGCATCGTTTGAAAGACCTTTTAAAAACACTCAAAGTATCTGATTAACTTGATAATCATCATTATTGCAGGTCGATGGTCGTAGCGATGTGGAACGGTAGGGCACGCTCATAGAAACATGAGTCGTAACTTCATGATGCAATAATTTCAAGTCGGCCTGCAGCCAAGGCTCGAGCGTGGTCCTTCTTTAAATAGAAAAGCAATGAATGGCTAAAGAAGATTAATTCCATAATGTGGACATCCAAACTGACGTTTGTTCGGCACAGGATAAACGTTATTTCAAATAAATATGAGTCTGAATAGTAATCGTATCTGTTATGATTCATACGATCGTTGTTCCAAGTGTGTCTTACTGTTCATCTTATTAACAGTGAGGGTAGGGTGCGGCCATTGCGTTTGACAAAGGATACATAACCAGGTAACAGTAGCAATTCTGACGTCAGCACTTGATCCCCATAACGATGTCGGCAATGCACTAGTCGAGAAGTAAAAACAACGACGGTTTTCTACTTGGCAACTTCGCGACCTGCTAAGTAAGAGGTATACATGCAGATTATCGCAAACCAGCCATTTCAAGAAAGATGATTTCACAGTACAATTTGTTAAAAACTTTAAGCTAGGCATTTGTTATAGGTTTTGTATCCGTTGACGACCAGTGCATCAATCATTTGTTAGACGTCTCGTATACTAAACTAATAACTAATAAAGGATTTTCAAGATGGATGTAAATGCAGCACTTGATGTATTGCCAGGGAGTCCGGGATCTCATTTTCTAAACCACCTAGTACAAAAACTAGATTGCGTACAGGGCATTGTGTCCTTCCATACGCGGGCGGCTACGATGCATGTTATACGTCTAAACAACAAGTGAGGCGCAGCAGTTTGCAACTGAAGTCAAACAATAACGACTAATTCGTTTCCATGAAAAAGCCGATTATCGGCTACTCGGGGTCCGCTATCTATGGTGATGTTTAACTAAGACAACATAGGACGTAAAAGTTGAGATATTTAGCTGGTTTTAGTGCACTCTGTATCCATTTTCGACAAAATTTCAGGCCGTAACGTTGCTTTACAGATCAGCTGAGATGAACTAACCATATACACGGAACACAAGCCCGTCAAAATGACACAGAGGGAACTTTTTTCGTACATTTACGCCTACAATTTTAGGGCGAAAGACCAACAGCAGGGCTTGCTCCGCCCGACGCCTTGGAGGACTCGGCGGAGTGGACTAGACCCGCCCCTATTTGCGGACCCACCAAGGGGCAAGGAAAAATTAAGGCTTTTTTCACTGTGGCATTTTCAGCTATCATCTATATGTGAAGCTCGAAGAGAAGCCACCTCTTTTCTGCAGTGCAACAGCAGAGACTTGCCGTCATCAGGAGCCCAGCCGGAACGGGTCTTGCAGGATTTGTATAAGGTTTTTTCAACAGATTTATGAAAGGGCATAACAATCTTATATCCTACAAGCTATCACCGTAATAATAATAACAACTTCCTATTTTTCTTTGACTTCATATCTACTATACTTATTAACTTTTATCTCAGCGTTAGCAGTAATTATTGCTAACGCTGAGATGTGAAGCACCGCGGCTGTCCAGTTGCTAATTGATGATTACGATGGCAACGCAGCCAAAGATGCGCCTTAGTCATTCAGACCGTTAAGTTAACGTTAAGGCGAGCCTTGATTCACAATGGTGTAATTGATTCCGTCGAAGTGGAACTGATCAAAAGCAGCTTCTTTTTTACCGTTTTGATAATAATATTAAAAAAAAAAAAAAAAAAAAAAAGTCTTCTTCATTTACAGATATTGCAGCTTATAGTATTCATAATTCCGACACGGCATGGCGCCTTAGCGACGCCGGCACGATGAGTAAGCTAAACTAGAATAGAAAAAGTTTGCTTTCATCAATCCAAATGCTTCGTTCAACTACAACATCACGTTTGGGAGCACAGAAGTCATCTATTAGATTATAACAATGCTTACTCAGCACAGAGTACGAGTGAATCGTAAACAAACTGGACGCGAGACAAAATAACGCCGATGAAGACGTCTACGTTGCCGCTTAGGCATCATAATGACTATACTTCTCGCGAGAACTATAGGCAGAATTGTACTTTGATATTGTATCTGAGGGGCTATGTAAGCAGACCAATTGACGTTGCTAGAAATCCATCCAGTAGTAGCTTATACAGATGAGGACATATACGAGATAAGCGTAAGCATCATTGACATTTTTCAGACTGGGTTGAGTCTAGACACCTAAAAAACGGGTGTTTTTTTTTTTCTTCTACATTTCGAAGCCTTTTTTTCCCAACTTGCCGATTCTGTGGCTGCACAGTGATTTGATATTTTCCCTAGAACGTTTGTAAACACTCGAAAATTTAGCAAAGAACGTATTTAAGTGGTTGGGTTTAAATATGCACACTGTGTCCCGGTTGGTATCCCAGCAGAAGTGGGTTTAATTCAATATATTACAATTATATATATCAAATACAGTTCAACTTAATTACGATCTAACATTATTCGAAAAAAAAATCAGTGTGAACAAAATAAGCGCCTGACTTCACACGAGCGATGGATTCATTCATAAATATTTGTACTGGGCGGACTATAGTAATTGCCCCTCTATTTGAATTGCCATTTTGCAGTAGGTGTGAACAATGTAAAGCAAACTTATATCGTCTGTTTGATGCCCTGTAGTCCAGCAAAGCTACGTTCCAAGCTGGTTTGAGAAAAATACTATGAAAAACGCCTGATAATATTGGACTATTTCAATCAGAAGCTTGGGTAATTCCAAATGCTAAGACACGTTGCCAACTACCTCGTACCATCAACCTTGGCAAGATGACGTTTAAACGAGCCAACTCGGATTGCAATAGAAAGCATCTTTAGGCGCTAATGCCTAAACCCATGCACACAGCACAATATATAACGAAATTCTCTGCAAGTTATTCGTGTCAAAGCGAAGTAGGACATATCACAAAACGCAAAGAGCACAGCTTTTTGCCACTTACTTCAGTAACTGTCACGCTGGAGACCCTTTTTGACGCTCGATGGTCCTTCACTTCGGACGATTTCTGTTACGATCCACTGGCGACTTCAATAGCCACAATTACTATTAGCTCTCTGCTGTCGTCACCGTCCCAGCCCAGAAGTGCATTAGCCATTAATAGTATGCCTATGCCACACTTGTGATTATCATTCCCAGCTCTTCTGGCGCCTCTTTAGAAGTCTGTCTGTTCGCGCGGGGCACGTTCCCGGTTCGTGCTGTGCCTATCAGTCTCTAGTTCGATTCCTAAATTCACTTGTTAAACTGTCCAGCAGTTTTCCCAGGAGATTGACCTGTATCGTCAGTATCACTGGCTCCAAGTCGACTCACTGTCGAAGCATGCGCCATATCAAACCGTATTACGGCAGGGCATGTCTCCTACCGCCTTCGTAGACTACGGTGCCGTCGCCAGCGCCACCACCTTCTCGGCGCCGCCCTCGAAGCGTCTTAAAAGGAAAGCCTTCTACTTAGAGTCCCGAAGCGTCCATTCCTAGAGCCTTACTAATTAAAAACCTAGGCTGGCTGCCGTTACATAAGCGGCGGCGGCAGCAGCAAACGTCAAGAACGTGAACATTTCATGAGTGTGCGAATGTGAGTGGATGCTCTAAACAATAGATTGTTAACGACGGAAGAGTGTTGAATGCAATGACCAAGCAAGCCACAAAACGCTCGGAAATTGGCATTCCCAGAGCCCAATATTTGTTGCCCTGTTGTACTAAGCTCGTCAACCTGGATTATACTATTAGTGCCTTGGTTTGGTCTAGACGGACGAGGGGGCTGTAGAAACCTGGACAGTATTGACAAGACGGAAATGCAGTTGAAAGTAAAAGGAACAAATACTCTCATTTTGACTGTTTGCCAAGGCGGAGGGGCCGGCGGGCGTTCGAGCTGGCCTCGATTAAGGCGCTCTGTGACCGGATCAGTTTTGCTGGTTGCAGCACCAGTTTCGCCCGTTGCTCCCGTCACACAACGTTAACGACTATGACGATGAGAGCGTCAGGGGCAAGAGCAGCAGAGTCACTGTGTTAAAGCAAACTTTGGGTCGCTCCTATAGCTTGGGTGCCGGCCGGACACAACCACGCCGACGAATACCACAAACGTGATAGAGCCAACACATCTCTCTGCGGTATATGTTGTCTCTCTTCTGGTAGTATATAGTGCTTTCTAACTTGCCTTGTCATAGCTTCTGCTGTTAATATTCTTAGTACCTGCGATGGACTGCGCCGTCAATCGACGTATTCCTCTTGAGAGCCTAGCAGCAAAAACGGGCGGGCCGAGAAGACTCGTAAGGTCTGATAGACGTAGCATTACATGAAATAGAAAATACTGCAGCTCTGGGTGGCTTAAACATGATTAAAGAAAATCATGTGAGACGCTTGAGGGAGATTTACGTATAGAGCTTATAGTTCGTATTTGCCAAACAGGCGTGTTTGGTGAATTAGTAGAAGGCTACGTAGGATGTACATCGGCCTATAGTATTCGGTAAAAAGAGAAATTGATACGTTCGAATCAGCGTTGACTTGAATCTTGTAATCTATAGAATTGATTTTTTATAGCACTTTAATGATATCTTGGCATCAGCCTAATGTCTCTATGGGCTATTGTAGTAACCTCTTCTAATTTGTATCCATATGTCGTGTAATAAAAGTATGAATTGGGTTAAAGTGCACCTGAAAGGTCGCTGCTAAGTAGTCCAGCAAGTAGGTCATTGATGGTCAAAACAAAACATTATATATAGCCTACATTTTTCTTTTACCATATTTAACTTTGACTGGACCTAGAGAAGACGGAGAAACGACGAGAATATATACCCATTCAAGCCTGATATAAAAAAAAATATTTGTTACATTTTAGGTAGATGATTCGTTATAGGTATGTTTTTCCTTCAAAGTAGCCACAGCTGATCTCCGCTTAGACTTTAGGCCAGCTATAGATCTTTATTATTATAGCGATAATATCGTTCAGTACTTTCATAGAAAGTACATCAGACCATGCTTAATAATAATAATAATATTAGTGTTGTTTCATTTACAGTGTTGTCTGCCGTCGTCTGCTGGTCGTTTTGTTTGTGTAACCTGGTTACAGTTAAGGATTGTAGAACAAACGTTAGGATCTTTATTTTAGCGCTCCTATGGATTTTCTGTGAGTAAAGCTCCGAAAACGCTTATTAGGTGGATCGAGTTAACCTGTTGCAACGACAGATTAACTCGATCCACCTCGGTTAGGATGGACTAACTGCGATAGATACGGCAATAGACATCAGTGTACATTGAGGACTAGAAGCGGTCCTAATTCGACACTTGTTCGCACTCGCACCGTGCGGCCCATTGCGTTGCATGAGGACTTTGTACACAAGCTTGTCAATGCTGTTCGATGCTGTATCAAGATGTCGTTTAGATCAAGAATTGCTTAAATACGACGAAGAATATCTCGCACGCCTGATGATGTCCACATAAAAAGGGTAACCCTGCCCTAGATCGATCCGTTCTATTGGGAACACTCATACTGCATTTGTGTAATTAATGCCTGTTCCTCTATTCTTGCTAGAAGCATCGTTATATGCGTGTTTCGTTGATTATTTGAGTTATTACGACCTGAACGGAGCATTGGGGCACTAGAGTAAACTTCCGATAACTGAGATTCGGTACTGATCCTATATATGTGTAGTTGAAGTTTAAATTAGAAGAAGGGTCAAGTCATCTTTCGGAAGATTCGTCAAGTTAAGAGATATCTTATACTGTTAACCAATTTGCAATGGCTACACCTAAAATAGGCAGGCCGAAGTTCGACTGCGCGTCAAAACCTCCCTTTTCGATTAAGACTAGTAAGTGGGCGATGCGTTAATTTTGAAGTGTTTCACACAAATCTGGAACACAGTTAATTAACTTAGCACTGTTTCTGCGCTTGGGAGGGCCACTTTAAGTACTTGACATAAAGCAGGCTAGTTTTTAAGCTAGCTTATCGAAAATAACGTCGTTCAATACGTGCGCGTTTAGCCCGAAAGATCGTGCACACGCGTTTAACCTATGGAGTATTTTAATCCGAATGCAAGCATATTTATAAAGTTTGCTAGACTTAAGATGTGATACTCCATTGCAGTTAATTAAGTCAATGTTAAGATAAAAGAACTATATTTTGTTTGCTGGGCATCATTGCACTAATAATATTATTTTTGATACTAATAATAATAACAATAATATTAGACGAATATCAGGGCCCAATCGTCAGCTAACTATAAAAAAATTTTCAAGTTATTTAAACTATTTTTTTAGCTTCTTCGCAGATTCAGTAGAACCATAATTAAAGCTATGTTTTCGCTCCTAAGGATAGTAAAAAACTTAAATCTTATTTTTTTGGCGAGAAAATTGATTTATTGTTAATATAACGATACATCATCTTACAGCATGGATTACGTAATGGAATGATCTTATTGACTTAATAATGGGACCATTTATCCATAAAAGCACAATTGGTTTATTCTTTTGATCACATGACCTTGAAAGGTGCACCGACCATAGTTCAGATAATCTTATAAACTAAGTGTGCGCCCAGGCAAATGTCAAAAAAGAAGCGTAAGGGAGTCTTCTTTAACATTTGCCTGGGCACACACTTAATTAATTAGATTATCTGAACTATGGTCGGTGCACCTTTCAAGGTCATGTGGTCAAAAAACTCGCATAAACCGGCATTAAAAATGTCTAGACGCCTCTCTTAGTTGAAATTTCGTATTTATTCACCATTTTACATTATTGTTGTTTCTGAATTAAATTCACGTGAAGTTTTCACGAGACAGCTGTACAAATGTCGAAACTGCAGCCAACATTTGAAGAACACTCCTTATGTCGTCATACATGAAATGCAGGTAGACGTCGAAAGCTGAGCTCCGGCTCACGACTTCATCTGTTCCACTTATAGTTCCGGATGGACATATTCAAACTTGTCCTTCAAAAATTGAACTACTATAAACGTTTCCTATTCATGATTCATCACACAACTTCGATACGGATAATAACAACAACAAAACTCAGCTTTAACCAATTGCGTGCTGAGGCTCCACCAGGAAGCGGTGGACATTGAAAGAATCGCTTAAATTTCAAGTGCACAACTCTGTGAGCTAAGCATTTACAAAAATTTCAATAAAACTCATTTCACTACAAAGCCTCTCGTAGCAATGTGGACTGCCGCTCGAGACGTTTTCTCCCACGTCGAACCTTGGAAGGAACAATGATGAAAGCCGGTTCAAACAGGACACGCAGTAGTAGCGCACGAAAAAAGCTTGCCGATTCACAGTAAAGTCTGTGGAGACATTCTAACGGAAAGGCAGCGAAACTACGGCCGTAATTCACGAGACCATGGAACGACGGCTACAGGAACTCGTCGATTTAGCCAAACATTAACCTTATTTTGCACACTGAGGTTTTGGGCCTTGATGGGCCGCGCTGCAATATTCACGCAAATTCAAGCGAGTTGCCCTGAGGTCAGTAGGATGAATTGGGTGGAAGATAAAGTTTCTTACCATAGAGTAAGGGTTAGTACGCGAGTATTTCGATGATAGCAAATTATTTTACTTATGGCTGGACTGTTTATGGCATCAGAAAAAGTAGAGCGTCGAGCGCACGTAAGCGAACTGCAAAATCTGTAGCTAAAATTAAGCTAAATCTTCCGAGCACGACTGTCTGTTGAAAAAAATATTGCGAGCAAGCACATAGATTTAAACGCCAATTAGATGCGAGTATCGACAACCATGATTCTCTTAAATGAGTTCATAAGTGTATTCTGGTATATTCCCCTTTCATCTAGGTAGTTTTTTTCCGTTAATCATCATGCATTTGTCAAACGACACGAGTGATAATTTCATCAAGGGCACTTTTGTTCAGAGGCTATAGGGGTCCCAAAATTTGCAAGTATAGCTTGGAACTTCTCGAAGAAGGGACGACGATCTTTTATGCGAACCCATTAGTTAATATCCTCTGTCGATTGATGTGAGCATTTGTGTAGAGGTTTCTATCCTCTGGTGGAGTTCCCCTTGTATTTGATGAGTCTATAGTCACCTACATACACACACTAGCTGGTATCTTTAGTGGCTAGTTCACGATGTCAGTATCACAATGATCTCAATAGTTATAATAAGAAAAGATGGTTAGGCAATTTGGTGCAATTAAAAATCGTTACTATACCGTCCTCGCAGTGCGGTTGCTGTTGTAAATTGCGAGTTTCAGCAGCTGGTGTAGCACTTGTAGGCCTTTAAATCCTACTCCTAGTTCTGAGCTCATTGACACCTAAAGAATCTCTAAAAGGTGGGCCCTCCATTATCTAGATAACTGGATTACGCGTCGCAACAGAACGTCCTGCTTACGGCATAATGTGAAGGGGGAAAAATCTGAAAACTTTTTTATATTTAGGTTACCAAAATCGCCACGCGTCGTTGAAAATCTCAGGGAGAAAATTTATGACAACTTAAAATACCTGTTAGCTTGAGTTATGTTTATCCTTTGAAGTTCCACTGAAAGAACTTCGGAATGGTAATTGAATAGTCACATAATCACATAAGAAAACGGATAGATACTATATTTAGTCGACATTTGGTTTAGGATGAATCAAGGATCTCTTTGGACAGTACTACACAGAATGCGACTCCCACGTGTCCCTTCGGAGGTCTTGCCACATGCACATAAGAACTGCAACTTAGCAAGCAGTATTCGTGGTCCAAAATCATCTAGGAAATGTCTGATGCTGACCCCTTAAGATGCGCAATAAGAGTGACCCTCGATTATCTAATGATCCAGCCTATGTTCGTTTGGCCTAAATATTTGCGCTAAGTCAAGTCATCGACGCGGATGGGGCGCTTCTCAAAAACGGCAGAAATTAGTATTTTGCAATGGACTTGAGCCAAATGGTTGATTTCAGCTGACAAAGGAGGATTGTTCTGTGATAAATAGCGTTTACAAAAAGATCAAGCAGTTTATCGTAGGCGTGCTCTTTTTTTGCGAGGTCTCCCGCACGATGAGTAATTTCGCAGCACTAAATGGAGTCCTGCGAACTTTTTTGCAAGCAGAAATTGCGCAGGATAACCTTGAACACCGGCTTTCTCTTCTGACTGTGAATAGTATAGTTTCACTTATAGAATCATGTTGAAAAACTTCGTCTTGAGTGCATTTTTGCCATTGATCCCAATTTTGAACTTGCATTTGAGTAACACCTCGTGCCTCTAAAAACTACAATTAAATTTCCATAGCTGCAAGTAAAAATTGTTACGTTGGAGCTCAGTAATAGCGAGGCTATAATTTGATGGATACGCTTCGCATTAGAGACCAAAACTTCTAGAGTGATGGCTTATTCTCGATAGGCGTAACGGCACGGCACACCCGAAAATCCATTATATAAATGTGGCTGAAAAGCGGTTGAATTTTGATCACGCTAGGATGTCGTGTGACGATCATTTCCATTTATATATTATTTGTAAAATGTATTTTAGGGGTATTAGCGTTTGGAGAACTACCATGCAGATTTGATCAATCAGAGCAGCTTACGTATTATATCTAAAGTGCGCAATGTATATATTAGTTTTGCCTGATAATCAATAATTGTCTAATCTAACATTGTCTAAACAAACAGTACTTTTAAGAATTATATGTGGTCAGTGTGCAGATGTACAAGCTATTATAGAGTGCTACATATATAGGTAAACCGTCGATTTCTTTATCGAGGGAAGCAAGGCTCAAGAAGTTGCCATTAACCCAGCAACATCATGCATGTACCATGACACGAGACTTGGCTTGCATTAGCTCAAGCTCCCTCGCATCTAATCAACTTAGTTATTTGAGTGGAAAACCGCCGGCAGCCGCATTGATTGGCCAACTTTTGTCCTAATTGACAAAATCAACACAGCCGTACGTAGTAGTGAAAGGTCAAGCTTTATTTACACTGCGTGTCTTTATTTGTGATAAAATAGGTGACACGTTATAAGTAAAGGTGATTGTGTGTAGATGCCTTTAACACTTGCTTCAATAGCAACTTGATTTTATCAACATCGTCAAAAGCTGATACAACATCGTATTGGTTCATGATTTGGTACAGCATTTGTAGACGCCTAGAATTTGTAGTTTCGTTCAATATTCACCTAATTTCTTCGTTCTAGTTTCCGTCTTCTCGTCTCGAGGTCTTTCCTTATTGTAACCATGAGCTATTTGTCACATATATACAGTTTCTATGTACACGATACTATACGACTCTAATTTTAGTAACACTTAATACTTGGAAGTGAAGCGAACGGCCACAGTTGTGTTTCTTCAGTGTTATTTGTTTTTCCACCTCTACGTTCAGTTTTTTTTTCATCTTCACCTTCTTTTCACTGCGTGTGTGCATATGTGGATGTAAACGAGCCGAAAATGTCTACCATTTATAATGTTATATAAATATATATGTATATATAAGAATGTCTACTATATGCAAATGTGCGTCAGACATGACCGCCAATTGCATGGACCTTGACGCATGGAACAATTGAACCATGATCTTTTATCATCTCTATTCGATGTCTACGTCTGCCCCGTTAGAACGACCTTACAAATCTGATATCTCATAACAAGTCGTGCTTTTTATTTATAGATATGGGAATGTGTTGCGTAACAAACGTCGAAGCGTTGGGCAAAGTGTTTATTGCCTGCGCATGACAATGTACTATTATCTAGTTTGTTGGTTTTATGTTTCAAAAGCCGTGAAATGATCTTATTTACGCTCTGGTCAGAGTTTTCACAATTAAATGAAACTCCAACAAACCATCATAACTCGTTACGTGGACTTAAAGGTCTTAAGGCAGCAACGTTGTCTCAATCGCCGTCAACACATAGCGACCTGTAAAACACCTCTAGTCGCGAATTTTTTTTGTCGCACCTTTTTTGTTTATAAAGAGAGGCTGTCATCATGCAATCCTTAGCTTTCTAGCAAACTAAATGGTGACAGTGATTTTCCATGTATTTACCAATACGTTTTATTTTGTCCTTCAATATTATCCCTACCTCAATGGTATCATGTAGAGATTTGTCGGCACAACAAGAACGGCATCCGGACGTCACACAATCCTTAACACCTACAAAATAATATTAAGTGTGTCTCTGCCTTAACAAGGATAGACACACCTAATATTCTAGTCTAGTTATATTATTATATGTTACTATTATTATTTACTATATTATATTATTATATATGTTATTATAGTCTAGCTCATTTATTCTGTGTAAACAGTAATCCACTTACTGATTTCATAATAATTGTAACAGTAATTCTCGACGTACCAAATATCACATTTGCCCACACATTGGTATATAATCAATAGCATAATAATATGTACCATGATTTTCAACATATGACCTGGTGTGGGCATATTTCTGCGCTATAATGTTAACATCCAAATATGTGACATGATAGCGATGAAGTGGGCTAGCTAGGTTGGCTTGTCAATATTTTTCGTAAGTTAGACAAACCACACCGAACCGTCAAATGAAAAAGTTAACTACTTAAAATCCACCATCGATCTATGTTGCCACATATTTATTTTTTCTAAATAAATTTCGATTACAAACTAACAGCTCTCTTTCATCACTTTCATTTTTCAGACGCTGTACTCATTGAAGCGCCCGTATATTGCTAATACGAATTCATCTGCCGTAGAACAAATATTTAACAGCAATTAACGGATAGTGGAGAAAACTTGTAAATACAAGATTTCACGTCGAAGCGGCAATGGAATGAATGAGGCTTGAAAAAACTGCAGAAGAAAGGCTCTGAAAAAAACTGCTCTGCGCCCCATTGTTGAGTTTTATTAGACAACCGGCGATCTCGGTGCGATTGAAGGCGTCTACTGCAAAGCATTGGCTAAATCCAACGAATCATTCTTAACAAATAGTTAATACCTGCCGTTTGCTAATGGTGTGCAAATCAGCAAAAAAACACTAACAAATATCTGTGCAAACAAGGATCGCTTTGACAACAGCTTTAACAACTGTAGTTCAGTGCTGAGCTTCTTATTGTTCAACCACGACCATAATCAGCTAACGTCATAGAGCCCCGTACAAAGCTCTCGTTAAGGTTCCGGCAGAAACGTTGCAACAGGACAGACTGTGTTCTCTTTGCCTCAAAAGCACACAATTAGCGAGCCACTTTTTTTTTTTAGAGATTCGCGGGTCTGATCCTGCTCATCGACCTTTTGGGTTCATTTTCCGTTTCGTACTTGCCTAACCAGTTAGTAAAGATGGACTGTTGCTGGAAATTTGTAGGGGACAGCTAGTGTGTTCGACGCTTTGTTACAGGGATTGCTTGATTTCAGCCCAGTCGTGATAGGTTGGTGTTTAGGCGAATCGTGAAGGGATTTTACCGTCTATTTAATCGGCAGCGGTTCGACCCTATATATGCTGTTCTTTTGTATTATGTATACTGCTCATAAGGTAACAATAAGGGTACTCACAACACAGGGGTTGTATATCTACGTAGTGGACCGGATCTCGCATCCTGTTGAATGCATCAAATTAGCAAAGACGCATGCTTGCTTAATCGAAGGAACTCATTTAGGTAGGATGGCATCAAGGAGGTCATAGACTCCTGGCAGCTGCTTTCCAGACAGTACAACAAACGCACCATCCTCTCAATGGAACAGCATGCAGCACCGTGTAACGAATCAGTAACATCCTAGCAAAAATAAACAATATTATCATTATAATAATCATCATTGTCAATATAAATGCATATAAATACGACGACATCCCTAGACATCCTTAGCCACTGCTCAAAGGGAGGCCCTGCAAAACCGAAAACGAAATAATGTAATTAAGTCTGTGCACTTTTCTATTTGCAGCCTACTGCTACTAGCTGTAAAATAAGAAACTCATCATCCAGTAAGCGGGCAAGCCATCTGACTTTGGATACATATTATTATCACTCCAACATTATGACGAAGGATTAGTAAATGAAGCAAAGATTAACGCATACACAATAGGAATTACTGGTGTAGACGCGTCTGTTTGGGAAAAGCTTCGGTTGCGAACCGTCTTCCATGCGTCGTAGACACTCGGATAGAAGTTCGCAGATCCAATAGCCTCTTCGCAGCCACTCTTCCTCAGGAAGCGAAACAGGACCGCTGGAATGAAACAAAGGAAATTGACTGTCGCGTTCACCAACAGAAACTGCTCGGACTATTCCGAACACAGTTGGCTAAGAGACGACAGCCTTATGTAGTGCCTGATCTCTCGTGCCCGAAGAATAAAATCTACTTGGGTCAGTCATTCTAACGAATAGTATGTCAAATTTAATTTTGATCTTAAAAAAACAGATCAGAATCAGGCTTGACCGTCTAATTATACAACAAAAAGGTAGTTTTCGCCGATAGGTTTCGGTGACGTACGTGAGCAAGAAGCAATGGAAATGCGGACTCCAATTGCGGCGTAGTCTGAGGTGAGGTTCTTAATCGCCGATACGGAACAACCATCCATCCAGGATATGCGCGAAAAGTCAAGAATTATATCACTAGGAAGCTGTGACTGCATCGACGGGCCTCTAGATACGACAGCGCTTCCCAGTTCGAGAGCGGCGACAGTCCTATCATAGGCCTGAACACTTTCCTAAAAAATAAAAGATTAATGAATACATGGACGTAAATGTATGGTAGGAGGACTGCAGGGCGTTGAAAAAGTGATACAAGTTTCACAGAAATTCAGTAAATGGTGTGTCTGAAATAACTTTGCGGAGACCAACAACTGAAATGTAAAATTAGAAGCGTAATTGTTGAAAGCTGTTTTGGACGACGACTACTGAAGTAACGTCATGAAGTTTTCGAGGAAACAAAACATTTGGGAAATAACATTTGATGAATAGAAATGATTCAATCATACAATGATCATTCTATACGTTTAGGAAGTTACCTTAACGGCTTGTAAGCTGTCCTGAGAGCCTCTTTTTTTAATTGCTTTTTTCATTGCCCTTCGAACCTGTTTGGTTGTGAAACCCAAAGATTCTTCCAATTTCTCTTTGAAGAATTCCGCATTGGCAAAATGCATCGCTCCTCCAAAATGATAAACTTTCACTCCAGGCGTTTCTCGAAGCTGTGAAATAATGGCCATCTATATTAGAAGATACGCTTATATTCAATGTCTGGCCTTATCATCCGGCTAATAATGAATGGCTTTACGCAAAAATTCTTATGTAAAAGAATCCATCAATTTGATCAGTGTAATATATTAGATAGACAAGCAGCAACTACAATTTTAATATGTCTTTTTTAAGAATAGCAGTAATCATTTGTATGTCCATTCTATTTTTCTTCGCACAAATTTCTAGCTGTAGAATAGCTCTATACGAAAAAAACTGAGCAAAATTAGGATCACCTTCTGATATTTCCTGGCAGGCACAAAAAACTCGGTGTTAGGTACATGGGCCATAAGAAACGCCTTCGGCCGCTGAAGTTTGTAAACCAGAGTAAGCAGTGAAAATGCAACACCGACGATTAAACCCGACACAACGTCGAGGAAGACCGTAGCCAAGAACGATACCATCCACACTTGCTGCGATCATAAAGAAATAACCAGATTATACGCGTATCGCATAAGTCTTCAATTCAACGTGTGTTACACCTGTTGTTGGGTAAATAAGGAGCATAATAAACTAAATAAATTTATCGGTGGCCACCGATAGTTTCCCACAGAACGGATATGAATGCTGAACATAGGCCAGGGCTATGTTTAATATGTGCTAAATAAAATAAAAGATGTTTCTGTTCCTCTTCCAGCGCACCCCTCAACATTTTCATCGTCTACAGTTTGTCAACACCTATTATCAGATGAAAATTCGAGTAAGGAACTGTTGCGTGTCCTATAGAAAATATCAATCTCCATTTTCTATCCTTTATGCAATATACTCCTCACCATTCAAATATTTCTAGCGTCACAATATAAATAACGTGATTAAGATAATTCAGATGTAACTACTACTATATGAGGATCAACTCAGCTAATTAACTTATGCTTACTTGTGTTTGCGTGGAGCCTAAGTTGCCCAACACGATTGGCCATTAAATAGGATCGAATGGCAGTAATTATGTATGACAAATATGAAACTTGCTTATTAGAAAAATCTATCCGCAATAGACACAATTTGTCTGTTTCTAGTCTGCAGGATTCAGTTGTATTAAATAGTGTTTATCCTATTAGCACGGGATCATTGTCAGACTGAATTTAACGGCCTTGCTTTTGCTACTAAGCCTATTATTGACTGGGATTTTCAATTGTTAAGTTTCTGTTCTCCATCAAAGGTTGGTGAAAACACTAGGTAGGTAAGAAGGTTGTAAGCGAAAATACCGTACGTGAATAGTAGAAATGTCCCGATAAAAGTGCCAGACCCGAATGACAGGAACGCACTGCTCGGTTGATCACAACTAGTATTTCACTCGGTAATTTACTATAGAATTATAATTTCTGAAGATGCGAAAACAGTAAAAAAAAAAAAAAAAAACAGTGCTTTAGGTCAGCTGGAACGACTCTAGGTCAGTTGGAAATGCTGCATCGTACGTACAATGTGCGAAATTTCCAATCATCGATAATTTTCCTGAAGCATTTGTTTGCCATGGACGAGAATAGGTTAAATCTCTATTGGTAGTGGGAAAGGACCAGGAAAAGAACACTATGAACGTAAGGAGGACCCAGGTTCGGTGCTAGTGTTGAATAGGTTTACATATGAAGTGACAGGGCTATCTTGCAGAAATGGTATCAGTTCCTTAGTGCAGACAAATCAGCTTTAAAGTTGAAAAGACTTACCCCGTCGATCTTTGACAAATCCCAGTAACGTTTGAAGTCTTGAACCTGCATCACAATCTTCTTAAGCGATGTGATGATTATTGCGGCAAGGATACACTGAAAATGTATCAATCACCGCATCATTCGTTGTTATTCCAAAATAATTATTACTCAAATTTCAAGAAAAACGTTTAATCCAACGTTTTATAGACATGGTGGTTAACGGTGTTCCTAGCGGCCAGGCATCTATTGTGCCACCTGGTGGATGTTAGGTTGATGTATCAATGCGCTCATTAACTGGACCGAGCACTTCCTTTTACCGAAAATACTTTCTTCTGTCTTCTCGAATGTAAAACTGAACTGCACAATGACAGCAATTCTTTTGGTATCTTCATCGACTGTATTTTGCGAAACATCTCGGCCACTTTTACCTATCTACTAAAATATTTCAGTTTACCCACGATTCCAGGTATAGTAACCGGTACCTATATCATTTCGCCTCCAACCCTCTAACATTTTTTAAAAATTTATGCTTCAAACACTTGAGTGTCCCTTAATATGAATGCCTGAGCAAAATACAATACGCTTCCACGTCGTATAGAGACTATGTGTCATATTACTCACAATAGGGAGTTGTTCAAGGTAATGTCCTAGGAAAAGAATCATAAATAGAATGATGATAATGTTGACTACTGATACGATTTGTGTTTTTCCTCCGGCGTTTTCCTGTACGGCACTGCGAGGAACGGAAGCAGCTATGGGGAAGCAGGAGAAAAATGATGACCAGATGTGGCCGATGCCCAGTGCCAAGAATTCCTACAAGGGTAAAGCAGATGTCATCATTTGTCTGTATGTCTAGATTGAATACGCTCTGCCCTGACACTTAGTACACCACAGACGGGATTAAATACAGAATCATCTTCAGCTCTGTAATACGCCATTGTAATAATGAAAGCGACTATCGTAGCGGGTCGCTTTTCATTGTCAAAAAGCTGTCGTCACTCGCCCGAAGTGGCAACAGTAACAGTTCTATGTTACGTAAAAAAAATCCTGCTATTTATTATATTTTATTCATATCCTCCCGCCCAACCTTTTGGGGCCTAAGGAGTTTTCACAATGATTTTTAATTTTTTGTGCTAATTGAGGCTCTCACCTGGTTGGCGTCAACTTCATAGTTGTGCCTCTGTCCAAAAATGCGGCCCAGCGAAAGGGTAATGGCGAATGAAACCACGGCAATAGCAAATGCGTCCACCCAAATACGCGTCAGAAGGCTGGGGCTGAACGTAGGCGCTCGAGGAACTGGAAGCCTAATAGCGTGAAAAAATATTTCCTTAGAAGTCATCCGGGCGCTTCCAGCACGAATCGCACATTTGACATTAGGTACTACCTCCTAAACTCAACTCAAGACAAACATTTCATTATTGCATCGAGTTACGTAAATCCAAAGTTATGTTTCTCTTAATATATCCTTTCTCTGAAACATCTGAGATAATATCAGACGGCTCACTTTTCAGGGACTTCACCGACAACCGCGATGTTGTAGATCTTGTCAAACTGCATTAGATATGACGCAGCCGTGAAGACGATCACGGTGACAAGCTCGATTGGAACCGGAAGGCCACATCTATAATTGACCAAAAAAAGCATACAGTAAATACGAAATGAAGCACATTAAAAAGTGCTGGCCCAATTTCGTTCGTCTACATTTAGCATCATTACACACGTTCCCCTATTTTAGCGAGTGTAATAATGAATATTACACTCGCATATATTATTATTTTTTGTTTAGCCCTGTAGCATAGGTGAGATACTCAAGCGGACGCTGATAGCTGAGATACAAAAACTTGCTAGGTTCCACTTAAATAACGGCCCGAGGCTTACAACGATCATACATGCAATATTTCTTAAAATTATCCTCTATTCAAGACGTTTCTTGGGTTCACAGCACCGCAGGACGTAATAAGGACACTATTCATTCAACACCAGCGGTACCTAAACGCTTCTGCTTACTTGCCCGAGGGCAAGTGCACAACGATTTAGGAAGCCGTTTTAGATTTAAAGCCGAAATATTTTTCGTGCCACCTATGATCAGACATAATTTCTATATCGCACTAGCTCAAGATAGCGGCGTCCACTAGTGTTGTTAATTCTAGGAACTTCGCGGTTCTGGTCGACGTACTTGCGGACGAGGATTGGATCAGGTACGATTTTCACGAAGAGAATGAGAACAATGGCGATTGAGGACACAATTAGAGTGGGTAAATGTATGTCGGATATTTGCGTGAAGAAGGATTCAAGCGTCTGAAAAGCGATCATAATGATGATTATTACTTGGTTAACTCTACTAATTGCAAGGTTTAATAAACCGATATATCAGTTCGACGTTTCTTACAAGAAAGTGCAACAATTGATAGATGATAAAATATTTCTTATATTAGTTGGTGTAGAAAAGATTGAGAGAAACAATCGTTAGAGTTACGCATTTCCAACCTGTAATAACGGTTAGTCCGACCTAAAGCATGTTCCTGTAGATTTTTATTAGGCACGTTCGGTATTTGAAGGCGGAGGTACAAACCTTGTAAACAGTAAACATCCCAGAGAAGTGCGGGATTGGCAGACCAAAGATGGCGCCAACCTGGGACAGGGCTACTTGCACAGCCACACCTGTTGAAAATCCATTGACCATTTGTTCCGATAAGAAGACGTTAAGGCAGCCTAGGTTAAGTAATCCGAATACCAACTGTTTGAAAAGCAAACGTAAACAAAGAAGAATTTACGTATTGGCTTTATTTTCATTTGATCAAACGACTTTAGGCGACAGAACGTATCGATCGAAAAAACTGTTTCTTACTGATCGAAAAACACTTACTTACTGATCAAGCCTTGCAACCCTTTTTCTGACGACGTTCGATTTATTTAGCAAAAGATTTCGCAATGTATAGGAAATGTCAGCATTTGGCTTTTCTGTTTGTTTTCGTTTAATTCAGGCACAATGATGGCACAGGAAAAGCACTCTCGCAGTGGTCCATTAAGCACTCCATACTGGTTAGTCTCGTAAACATTCTGAAGCCCTTGAAATTTAGATATTTAGTGAAACGATTTACTAAAACAGGCAATAACAGCATAGGGCGCAAAGCGACCGCTATCATTGTTGTAAGTCGTATTCGGTTTGTGCTACATGAGTGGCTGAATTATATTCTCTACTCCGTCTAGAATATGCCTGTCAATTCCAAGAGCTTAAAGATACATATGTTGAATGGTTTGACACAAGTACTTACTATATTTCACACAACGAGTACGGAGCATAAAACAGAACTTTCAAGTTCACTTGATTGTTGTTTAAGCCAGATTAAATTAATAACTAATGTATCAATTGGCAACAACTTTCAATGATTGAGTTTCTTGTGATTACTCCTAGCAACAAACACTTCTTAGCCCGCCTGTAACCCTAGCCTGTGGGGGCTTACATTACTTGATGCCAGAAATTGCCATCTATAGAGATCTGAATAGATTTTATGAACCTGATGGCAAGCACCTATTTTTTCAACATTAGCACATTGTTCTGTTTGTAAACACGATCAGTAAAACGTATTCGCTGTAAATATGTGTCTATTTTCTCGAACATGAATCTAGCTTGACAGTTATGCTACGCTGGAGCATCGTAATCCAATTGAATTCATTTTCTCCTTATCGGATTTAAAGGGTTAGAGCGATATTTCCAGTTTTCTCCGCGTCCCCCTTGTCCGGCTACACTGTATCACGATATAGTGCACGCGCCCTTCAACCCTTCTGACTCGACGGTGGCGTGGGTTTGCAGCGACAAACAATTAAGCCAGCATATCTATTGCTGAAGTGAATAGAAAATGCAGTATTTTCGCCAGACAGACAATCCGGTTGAGTACAAAGCTGTTGGCGCTCTTTGCTTAGCTTGTAGCATCGGCACTGCTTTTCTCTACGGTGCTACCGATGCTGGTCGAGCCTTCACTCACTAGAAAATCTGTGAGTCAATCGATTTTCGTTTGCGTGCGTATTGCCTTGATCAGAAGCTTAGAACCTGCCGATGCCTGCCCGTTTCAGGGCCATCTACGTCGGCCTATCTGACTAGCATCGATGTAACAGGCCTGGCTCCTGCGATGCGCCCTCTATAGAAGCTCTCGATCGACGCGGAGACCGAGTGACTACAGCTATAACTACTACGATTACTCCTAGAACAACCATTGCGGTGAGATAAAAAAAAAAATAATATTTCTATGCTTGAAAGGCATGTTTCATCACCACAAACGTTCACGCCTCCCACAAGCATCTGTAATCCGTGTATATGCCGAGTACTTTGCCACAAGAATGATCCCATGAAAGAATTTCCACTTACTGACGCTGATAGAGAGAGCTTTATACTGAATAGGGCCGATGACGGGGCAATGCTTCGACTACGCTTCATGTGGGCTTTGCTACAGAATTGTCATCATACAACTCATTAGGTGGAGTGAAAATTGTGGAATTTTAGCATAATTTAATCATCAACGCCAACAACGGAAATGATCTGTGTTGTTCGATAAAAACGATTCTGGTTCGCTATTAGGTGGGGTATTATTCAGAAATGAGAGTTAACGCTTTCCAGGACAGACAAATAGATTCCAAGGTGGAAAAAAGATAGTGGCAAACATTTCGTATTGTACTGGCAGAGCACAGTCCTTTGATAAGACAAAATATAAATATTTTTTCTGCAAATCAAGCATTTCATGCACGAATCAATGATACTTATGCATGGAGGCAATCGAAATACAATCACGATAACACAGTACAAAAAGCTGTTAGATCACCGACGAGTCCAACTGTTACAAATACACGCGCGAATTCCCTGTAGAAGCAGTGGCAGTCATAGCTAGAATAAAGGAGATCTGGATACATGGGTCAAGCGATCTTCTAAACATGTGACATTTAGCTAACGCGTTACTGAAAACGTACTAAGCGTGAACGATTTCGCCCTTTCGATTACTTTGCTATACTAGCATCATCGTTTATAGACAAGAGATCACATGCAGTCTGTGCTCGCGACAGACTTCTATGGGGGAATCATCGAGTCTGCGATCACGGCTAAGACCGTAGTTCGCTGTTCGGTAGAAAGAATTAACGACTGGTGGTAGCGGTGATAAAATAGAAATAGGTTCCTATAGTTGATCCAAGGGAGCGACTGCCTTACCTCAGTAAAGTACGAACCTTCAAAATGGAGTTATATGGCACCACGGTTTGAGAATACAGCCAAAAATAGGTTCACCTGAAAACCCGGTCTGCGAGATTTCTCGAACCGTAGGAAAGCTACTTAAAATTGATTCAACCCTTATGCATTATCAGCTCTCTTCTCCAGTCGTTTTATTGTATATCTTGGGTAAAAACTCCATTAGCGTACTTCGTTCAACTAATACGACATGCGCTTTTAAGAAATTATCTGTGCTATCTGGCGTTTTAGTTTTAAGCCTTTTGTCAGCTAAGCTAAAAGTTAGAAACACATTTGCTCTTCGCTCACTTATAGCTTTTCACACCTGCCCTTTTTTTGCGTACTTTATTACACAGGCCATACTCCTCCAGCCGAAACCTTTAAACTTCACCTGTATAATTCCGACAGTTACGCAGAGAGCCGAGGTGACCTCCTGAACGGAAAATACGTTTCCATTAGCCGGATCGAATACGTCATGGACGGGGTGTGACGTGTGGGACATGTCGCCGACAATCTGACGGACCACCCCTCCAGTCATCATGGATATAATGGCATCGGCCCCCACAGACGCCTGCTTGACCGTCCCGAAAAGAATGTACATCATCATTGGGAACATTGAATTGTACAGCGCAAATACAGGCGGTACTGCGGCTAGCAGGGTGTATCCAAGACCTGTAACAAACATAATTATGGCTCGTGGTTAGCTAAAGGTAGATCGTCTACTTAACCTCGATTTTGAGTTTTCAATGGCTTGGATCATGGGTATAAGCCATACATGATTACCCTAAGACTGGAAATAACAGGGCTAAAATGATTAGAGATCCTACCGAAACAATACCCACTTGCAGAGAGGGGCCCGTACACGTAACAATTTAAAAATACGGCTATTGAATTTGAACAAAATTATGCATACAGACTACGCCATCGTACGTTGAAAACTGCTATTCCAAAATTTGGCAATAGAACCTACTGTATGGAGGGGATAGACGATAACGTTAAGCAGACGAAATAAACTACTTACTCTGAGGTACTTGAAACATCGCAACAGTGAAACCCGTAACAATGTCGGCTACGAGATAATCTTTGACGCGGTACGAAGCCAACCATGAGACGACAGGGAATAAACGAAAGATCGAACGCCTGCATCCAGCGGCTGACGGGGTCATTGAGCGACCGATTGTCTTCCATCGGTGATTCTGCCCGAAATTCAGACGAATAACGACAGATCTAAGGTTAGTTATGAGACGATGAACGTCTGATCCGCCGGCTAGCGAATTTTTAGGCGGCCTTAATTAGAAACTCCCCTAACGGTGTTTAGCAAATGGATTTTAGCGTCTGATTGCACACGTTCAGATTATGCCCTTTAAATCATAGTAACTCGTAAATATACAGCAGTAGACTTGTGCACAGATCAATTCACAGTGCATGTATTGCAGTACAATTAGAAAAAAAAAAGATTAGCCATTGCGCAGTAAGTTTAGATAGAACATTAAACACCGCAAGTTATCAAATGCCACTAGCTATACCGTATAAACGTGCGTCACGTGCTCTGTAGATTACTATTATATCAGACAATCGTAAATGGTTACTTTCTATATCAAGTGTGCTGCTCGAATAATTCACTTTTCCTTTCATTTTCTATTAATATTACTGTTTTTTTTGAGTAAACAACTTGGTGAGTCCATCCAATTCAATAGGTACATAGTTGTTGCTGCTGCTCTATTTCCATCGCCTGTCATCGTCCCCACTTGTTCGCTGACAAACCGCAAATTGTGCCGTTGACTGACGGCAAATGTACACTAAAAAGGATTAGTAAGAGTATTTTTGTTGTCAAGCTCGACAACAATTATGCTTCCAACGACAGATTGAGAGCGAGCTACTATAGCTGGGTAATCATGATGGCGATAGGGGTTCCAAGTCAATTATTCGACGGTGCGTTTATCCACTTGTTCATAAGGTTCGTTAGCTTAATCTTCCTCGCCGGAAAATGGCCGCAGAGCAGACGGGGTCAAACAGTCACTGAAACATTGCTGCCACCGCCGATCCACGGACAGTGTGTCTTGTCCAATACAACTGTGGAGTTTCCGCGTAAGCCTTTATATTGCTTCTCATTTTTAGCGTTATCGTCGTTGTTCGCTGGCGTGTACGCAGACGAATGAATGAATGAATGAAACTCTCCTTCTACGTTTTGTTTTCGTCTCGAATCAACACGACGACGACGACGCGATGGGCAGCGTCCAGGCTCGCCCGTGACTGTCCGTCTGTTTGCCTGTGGCGTGTCTGCATGAGGCGACACCTCGTCTACCCGAACTTCGTTTGACGTTACCAGATGCCTACTTGTTGGCCTGATGCGTAACCGGTAAAACAACCGTTGGCTGGTAGCTGACTGTGAACTAGCGACCACCACTGCTGATTGGTAAACGAGCCCTAAGGACTTGTGTTGTTGCTGTTGTTCATTTGGGTAGTAAAATTGCAAACCAGCCAACAATCGTCGTCTATAGCTGTGTCGAACTATGAACTATGCTTGGACTACGTTGACGCTTTCCTATATTACCTTAGAACGGGGGTGATAGTCCACTTAAAGCTGGACAGCCTAATGCATTGCAGCTGGCATGTGGGAATGTTGATACGTGTCGAAAGGCGCTAAGCGACGCTGAAGACACCGCTCGTACTTCCGAACTGTTACTACCAGCCGCGCGAACAGCAGGAGCTGACTTCATTTAAAGGCGGCTCGCATCGTAGAAACGCTTATGAACGCCTGTCCGTGCGGGGCCCCCCAAATATACGGAAATATGGTACATTCGCTTTCGCGCACTTACGCGATCCACTATCAGCGTTGCTAGTGCCACAACAACGAATACCAGTTTACTAGCGTACGCTCTCCTCTAAACCAGGGGCTACCGGTTTGAGTCAAACCGCCCGTTACTATTGTGACTATCGCGGCCGCAATGACAAAGAGTGACCCCACGGACATGTGGCCATTGTCAGCGCTAATCGGCACGCGTAAGGCCTTCTAGCTGTGCGTTTCCTTGACCGGCTCGTCTAATTGGCATACTAAAATGTTTTTGTTATTTTGGCAGCAGGACGTGCTGCGAGCATTTGAATCAGGGCTGGACCGAGGAAAGGCGTTCCGGAACCACTCGTACTCACGTATTCGACTTCGTTCAACACCTTGCTATGAAAATACGAAATATTCAGCATTCGTTAATAGACTGTGTGGCTTAAGTAGGGCGACATAAACATATTTACAGGTTTTGTTTATGGTTGCTTGCTGTCAACAGATCCACTCGTTAGGTACGAGCGCAAATTGTCTTATCTGCGACATAATAAATCCGTTCTCTGGGCAATGAAAAGTGGCGCTGGAGAGGTGTTTGATAAGCAATGAAGGTAACGAACGTTTGTACAGAGATTTATTTGAGAACGGTCAAAGTATAGAAGCGATTTAAAAAGATTTTTCGTGACCTGCACCCGATGACGACTGAGTAGGCCTAGCGGAAAGAGGATAGTTTAAGCGTGCAGCGGGTGACCGAAGCAATAGTACCTGATGACCTGATGTCGGTTTTCGGCGTTCCCGTTTCGTGGAGGCTTTATCAAGGAATGATTTCAAAGTACCTTAAATGTCTCTCATAACCGACATAATCAGTATAGAGCTCAAGCTAAGTGAATGAGAAAACAGTTGGCGTCGTTGGGCAAATACTTAGAATAATGACCTTCATTATTCACTTTTAAATTTACTTTAAATCATTAGACTTAAAATCATTTTCAGTAAAACATTAATTCAGATTAATAGCAAAGTATAACAATTATGTCTCCGGAAATCTTCGAAAATTTAAGGGTTGTATAGCTAGCTAAGGTCAAGAAAATGCAGCTTGGTTTATAAACTGTCCTTGTTAGCTTTTTCGAATTTCGACGAAGTCTATATTTATTAAGAATCCGTACTTGTACATTGTTTACAATCAACACACTTCCCACGCATAGCAGAGACTATTAATTCTAATATATTATCACAGCATTCACCGGGTTATTAAATTCAAAAGCGAACGTAGCCTGTTGGGTTAGATTTCCAAAAGCTTACATGGAAAATATTGCAATCGATGGAAACGACGCAGAATACCTAATCCGATTACCTATCCCGCGTACTGTTTGCGTGTTTTGAGGTCAGCAAGAACTGGCCTTAACCTTTCTGTGCCCTTACGCCGATACATGTGCTAATAGACTGCCAGTGTACGTACACCTCAAGCGGTAAGGACGGAATTAAAGCTTAATGCGAAATTCGTATGGTCTGCCGCCTAATTCTTGTTGAATATGTCGTAGACGCGAGCCATTAGGATTAATGAAAATGCAACGGGTTTATTGTTATCAAACTTTCAAAGTTCTCCATAGCTGGGTTCATACACGCCCCTATTATCGTAGCATTCGGAATACATTACAAGCGTTCAGGACAAACAGAAAAATCAAGCTCTTTTATGGGTTGTATTTATTAGCGTTGGCACGGTACATCACTGACGCGTCTCGAAGCAGTTGCTGTCAATTGTTTGCTATTTTACGATAACAAAACCAAGCACGAAGTACTAAATGGCACTATAATAAATTGCTATCATTGTTTGGTATAGTTTACCCTTCTTTCCTCGATCTTTCAACTCTACTTCCTACATGCATTCTTTGAATATACGCGTACAGCATAAGTTACTTCCAAGCATTACTTGACAGCTTTCAGACGGCCTGATTACGTCAAATTCGAGCAATCGTGTTAGCAATAACCAGCCACTGTAGGGAAATCTACTTGGCAGACAAACTATTTTTTTGGATTTGAAATTACTATCCGCACATATCAAAATCGTCCTGAAATAAATGTTCCCGCATCCATACTAGGCGGCAGACTGGTCTCGAAAGATGTCCTGAACACAAACTAGTCCTTTTGCTACACCACTATATTGCAGCCTCCCTAATCGTATATATATCGTCCACCACGGCGCGGCCCTGTTGTCTATTTCTAAGAGCGCAAATCTAAAGGCTTTGTCTATACACGGAAAGTAAATGGCCGCAGAAGCGGATGTAAGGCGTTCGGTGTTCGCTTTATCTCAGCGATCCGCCGTACTATTACGTCTTTGCGTAAATGAAGTTTCCAACGTAGGTCAGGGAAAATGCTCCATTACTTCGTGTTATTTGCATCGGACGTCGACTATTTTGGCTACAATACATATGTAATACACGTGAGCTCGACTGCTATCTATAATGTTCGGGACAGAGTAGATTCATTCTAGTAGAAATCAGCTATGAGGATTCATCGAGACACTGATAGTTTACAGACATTGGAAGGGCAGATAAGTCGAAACCCATACAGAGCTATGGTCAATGGGGGCATTGAATTATACTAGCGTTTAAACATGATTCTGCGAACGTCAAATGCGATTGTCTCTAGCGCTAATGATGAAATAAACATTGTTTGTTTTTGTAAAGATAACATTCGCTCAAGTAAATACCTAGCACGACCTCATTATCCACATCTGTAGCATGCTGCAATAAACACACCATTAATGAACAATGATTTCAGTGTCCATCTTTGACTACCCATGCGAAGTCTATCAGGAGTGCCAATGCATCATTTGTAGGCAATCAAATGTAATCGAAATGATAGAAAAACATTTTAAGAAACCACTAATTCGTGCAAGATAGTTGACACGATCGTTCCATGCGCACAAAAAGCCCAACAGGATTTTTATACGTATATTTCGTACGTATGAACAGAATATTTGTCCAAGTCCTAACTGGAAAATCCTTTTATATCCACAGTTCTATCAGTCCATACGGATAACTTACCGTTGTGTCAGATATCGGATTGGCATTACATCTGTATAACACTTGTAAATAGTGCGACATGTGTCGTCCGTCTACGCTAGATGGCGCTCCTCTTCGTTTTTATGTAATGCTAGATTATCTATGTAAATTCCCTAGGTTAGATCATGCCTTTTTCGTTCAGGTCAGACTACTGAACGTCTAAGCGTTACGAATACAACATGTGACTGACTCACTCGCTGGCATTTTTTTTTGTCAGACGTTTGGTTGAACGTATAGTGGAATTAGAAGCCACCCTACTACCCTGACCTTATTACTCATCTTCGTGGTGACGCAGATTAACGAATACGGAACACGATAGGCCTTTTAGCCGAAATATTGTCACATCATCAAGCAAAATCGCTTGCAACGCGGCCGAACGATTGCGGCATTGAGGACTAGTACATGTGGGAAAGAAAAGATAGCGTGCTTGTCTCAAACAGCGAGATTACATACGCCGACACGCTGTGCCAATCAAACAATGTTCAGTGTAGCAAGAAGCTGCACTAATTTTTACCCACAAGAATTATATATAATAATGATTTTTCGGACTTTAATGAACTCGGTGCATTACTGTGGCCCTGTGCACAGACAGGGGACAGAACGAATTTTTTTTATGTAGCAGAACAACGAAATATTAAGCAAAAACAAAATGAAAACTTTTCTTCAAGCTGTCAACTGGCTTTTTCCGAACTGTCAAAAACTCCCGCCTGTGTACGTATATATATGCGTGATACCATGTATACATACATAGAATCATTTGATGTATTTAAATGGGCAATCGAGTAAAGTTTAATAGTGGCTCCAAATATCACTATGAAGATGCAGTTATATATATAGGACATAAGGGATCATGTATATAGAAGCCAATTTGCCAAAAGATATATCCGTTGGCGGAGGGGCGGTGTCTTGTAACTCACACTCACCCTTTCTTTGGGTACTTCATCATAGGTATCGATGAGCTCCACCTGCGTCAAAGGCCTTCGCGGCTGACCCATTGCGTTCTGGATGTTGTGCCGATGTAACGCGTCCATTGTGAGGCTCGTCCAGAGCACTTAGACTTAATAGCTGGAAATATGAAATATGGGCATAGTTATTATTGGATTATTTGGACTTCATGCATTGTCATTGACAGTAACTGGCACGACATGGTCCATAAAAATTGGAAGTTCTTGTAGCAAGTAAACACCAGATTTATCGCTTTTATACATTAACGAAAGGCCTTGACTGGCAGCGAAATTGCGGCAGGGAAGACTTGGGTTGCTTTTTAGATGGACGAGAAAAAAAGTCTGCTTTACATAGTAAGAATAGAAAAATTGTAGAAACACTATTGTGTAATATCAATTTCATGAATAGACAATACTAAGTGAGTTTTGTCTATAGCTTTCAGTGTAAATCAATCTGCAAGGTTGAATGCGCACATATTTTGAACAAAAAAAAAAACCTAAATTACACGTCTCTACCTAAAACTGTCAACTAGATTTTCTATTTCTCTAAACGCAGATAAATATTAGAAATTAAATAAAAAATATCTTCAATTTGGGTACGTCACGTTGGATGAAAAAGCGAATCTAAATCATGATTATGTTATAGGGCCTCCGAGGTTAACGATCTCCGTCCGTATGATAAAGTTGTCAGTTTTGTGACCACTAATAAGAAAATTTCAGGTTTAGAGCACACACACATCCACATACACGCGCGCGCGTATGCACGCGCGTACGTACGTACGTACGTACGCACGCACCCACACATACACACACACACGCAGCGCTGGCTTCAATTCAATTGTATTATTTATGCACTGCTGCACAATCTCTCACAACATATCCACGCACGCACAAAACCATAGGACAACCTTCGCACTTCATTGGATCGGAACATAGGCAGTTACTAAGTGCTCAAGACAGGCGCACTCATTACGCAATGTTATATGCCACACATATAAACGACAGACATTACATGTAGTTGGCCTTGATTTCTCTCTAGCCCACTGTACCTTTGCTTAACCAATATATCAGGTCTGTACAAGAGCTCTATCAGAATGTTACTCCTTACCGAACGCTAATGGCACAACTATTGAATGATTAATATTCAATCATTACGTTGATATACTGACCTAGTCTAGTTAAGTTCAGTAGCAGTTATAGCACCCGCTACCTGTGTATATCCGCTCTGACCATTCACAAATCGAAGGAACCTATTGTGACATCGTTACTACGACGTTTATACCGACTACTCCTGAAACTGCTGGATCTTCTTAGCTGAATACCATGGACTTTGATGGAGGAAAGCTAATCCCATTTACAGAAATACCGTTTGAAACGTACGTGCCGTGGGAACCTACCGTCTGGATGCCGAGTAGCGGCGGAGTTTCTTCTAAAACCCATAATCAGCCTAGAGGCTATCACTAGCTCTCCCGCTGAATATTACTATTGTGTAAGCATATTTCTACTTTATGGACCCGTCGTTTACCGCGCGCGTGTATGTGGACGCGTCGCGCCGCCCCGTACCGCACTGGCCCATCTCACTACGACAGTAAGAGCACAGCATTATCATCACTAACGTCCGTCGCCACAGTGGCAGAACCTGCATCAACAACCTTCCATCCATGACAGTGCATTGAATTGCCTGAGGTATCGCAGCGGCCTCTCTATTTCTTCGTATAACAACTTTGCGGGTATGCATGTATGTAAGTGTTTTTGCGCCATTCATATTCTATTGGCGTGCCCGCTTCGATGGTCGATCATCATTGCTAAGAGGAACAGTCACCAAAGCCTAGTTGTCAATCCTGTGACCATTCCATCGCTGCCGTCCACAGTAAAATCTATTTAATCGCAGTGCTGGAACTGGCCGAGGGGTGTCGGCACGAGGTGGAGAAGAAAAAAATGGAAGCGGTGATTTACCGTAAATCGGTTGTAAAAAGCCGCCAACAACGGTATAGTCGCTCCATCATCTGCCACTATCATTTAATCGTTAAATGATCATCACTACTTTTACGTACGACGGATAGGAGTCGTGCGAAAAGTGGATGCATGGGTCAGTCCGTACCAACTTTGTCATCTAGTCGCAAAGCGCACAGCGGTCAACACCATCGATTTGAAACAAAACCAGCAGCCATGCTGAAATCCGTCGAGCAAGACTAATGTGATTCACACTGGATAACGCACGCCCGTCTCGCAACACTAGATGCATATGGTTATTTTCGCATGTCTAATAGACTTGGCCTGTCTGATAGCGTCTGCAAATCGGCCCCTGTTGGGCAACGACTCGTTAGTCCCACAACGAAAACGGTAGAAAGATCAAGAGATTTGTACTGGTACCACTAGTGATGATGACTCTGAGAAATAATAGCGGCGATTAACGTGGGTGATGAAAAATTCCACACTGACGAAAAACAGCATAGATACAATGTAATAATCGTTCACATTTCCGTGACGACTACCAAACTCTGATATTAACGCAGCGTCATTGCCTATAAACGTGACTGGTCTCTATGACATGCGGTATTCGCTATAAACGGTATCATCCGAATCTGGATCCGAGTCGAATGATCAATTTTGAGAAAGATGTCTATTTGAACGCCTTGTCACGGAATAAGCCCTAACCTTTGTCTTCTCACGCCGTACATGGAACAGAGAAACAATTGTTTTAGACAGCCGACTAACTATCTATTCTCTACCCTATAAATTTTTTATAACTTGTTCTTTCAATACTTTGTTTTATTTAAGATAGGCATAGTGCTCAACATAGGTTCGTTGCCTAATGTAACTTCACTCATTAGTTTTTTATTCGTAATCATCGACGTCACCTCTTAGGCACTCTACGGATGAAGCGACCTTAAAACGAGCTGTTTCTTAAAAATGTGGCCTTGACGTACGACGTTCAGTAGTGTACATGAAGTTTGCAGATCTTTTTCTATTTGACTATAGATGAAGTCGCTAATCCGTATCATGGATTTGATCGGTAGATATGACAGGAGACGTTGAAGTAAGCACCCAGCATACATTAATCTAGATTTTGAACATCACTTACAAACCGCGCTTGGCTTCCAGTTCGTGTCTATCTTACTCGATAGATCAAAAGCTGTCTATTAGCGATGATCTCTTCACGAAATGCAGAACGGGCGTAAGCCTCCATTTACCTTTCAAAGGCATATAGTATAGGTAAAAAATTTTTCCGTTAGGCTCCTAATCAAATCACAGCTTAGACGTGTGCCTAAAAACCGCAGCTTAGGACTAAAAACGATTGTTTCGTACGAGCTTTTATGTAGGTTCTCGATGTCCGCCGTTTTCGTGTATGGAGCGGGGTATCAGGAAGCAAACTATTGGCGACGCCTCGGTTTATAGTTGAGGTAGCGGGATGCATATGCGTTAGGGTGACATTGCTTGCTCTAGACGATGCACTAGGTCTGTTTGACGAGGGAACACCTTTTACGGCACCAATCAACTAACAAAAGCCAGCGCAAAAAACCAGATGCAATTGTCCTGGCATTTGAAAGCTAGATGCGACATACATTCACGATGAAGACAGCTGTTCTAAGTTTCGGTAATTCTGTGGCAGGATGTGTTGCGATTACGGTGGGCCGGCGATCGCCTGCCGCAGGCCAAGCTTAATAAAAATGTTAGGAGATCCATTTGCCGGTAGACACTACATTTCCGAGGCTTGAGCTCGACATATTCATGCTATAATAATGCTTACTCATCTTGAAGAACTAGGTAGGAATATAGCAACATTTTCTTGGCAACTGTGTTAACGATTCCAGATGCGTCTGACATCATTATTGCTTACGAAGTCCCGAGCACCGTGGCCTTTGTGGTCTATTGGAGTTTTCCATCGGAGTTTAAAAATAAGAACACTGGAAATCTTCCGAACGATGGAAGCAGTACTTTGCAAAGGAACTTCACTTTTCTTTAATCAAGAGGCAGTTTTGAGGCTGTCTTGAATGCAATATATATATATATATATATGTATATATTTATTCTATAGAAGTGTATCTAGTTTATCGGCGTAGCTACGATCCGCTCTGTTTGTATAGTTAACAGCGCGGTACTATACAATTCGACAATTGCATTCCTCTTCGCCAGAATGACAACGTATTATTATATAGCCACAACCAAGACAACGATCAAAGGCGAAGTCGACATCCCTTGGGGTCATAGCTACTGTAACAATAAGCTTTCCAGTAAAATCGACGTTTTTCTCAAGAAAAATGAAAAAAAAAAAAGGCACCGCTTATTTACTACACTGATTGCTACGAAGCTCAACTCATACTTCGTCGTGTTGCTTAATCTCAACGCTAGTAAATAAATGAATTAATTCAGCCTTGTTGCTTGACATTTCATTGACGATAGCACCTTTACCTTGGCTTTTGACTTATTACCAAGCGGTCTGGTGGAATATCTAGAAATCATACAATTATGCCACATTTCAAGAAATGATTTCACCAACGTTGAAGTAGAACAGAAATCGTTACGCCATGTATGAATAGTGTTGCTTTAAATAAACAGCACAGGCACGTATTCGAAAACAGAACTAATGATAACGTAAATTACAACTGTACAACTTCCAACTTGCATCGTCCGCTGCTGCTGTGCCCAAAAACACAGAGGAAACGTGAGGACACTATTATAAACGTATAGTGGCCATTCGTCAGCGTTGCGTCGTAACAATGTGTAACTTGTCCTCCTAACCATTAGTCCTTATCTATTATAGAAAAATTGATTTGGCTCTCTGAGTTCTGCACTTTATTTTGTTTGACGCATTTCGAGATCAGCATGACCCCGTCAAAGGCACTGGTATTACGACCGATGACGCGAACAGCGTATGAACTTAACCCTGTGTATTTTTTCGATACCGGACTGAACGAGGGTATCGCGCCCGCGGAGAATGAATGGAGCGGCCGCTGTGTCATTACGTGATTGATTTTCGTTTCGTTCGCCGTACTATTGATTTCTTTTCAAAAAGAAAAGCACATCGGCGGTACGGAATAGGTCTTGATAAGCATAAAAATATCACGAAAAAAAGGCCCAGATGCATAAATAAAAATACATGGACTTTAGAAAAAAAACTAACGGCTGCCGTAATAACAGCGCTACGAAAAAGGACCACAGTGGCAAATTTCGGTGCACAAAAGTTTGCGTGCTTCGCTGCAGTCAGCTGCCGTATCATCACCTAGCGTGCCTGTATTTTTCCTGTCTGCACACCGATAGACGTATACGGTGCTTTCATATTTGGTTCCCTTACCGAGTCGGTCGCTGATGTACAACTCTCGTGGTCTAATCTTATTTCAGTTCAAGTTAGCAACTGTTAAATTTGCGTAACTTCCGCCAGATGGGAAAAGTATTCATGGTGACGAACTTCGTTGAAAGGCTGATTGTAGGTACCATATTCGCCGTTGAAGAACACGTTCGGATGGCGTTTAGTGCACGACAAACGGTTACCCGGCAGGAAAATCTCAACGGGCAGCTCAGTTATGATCGTCTGTTGCGACGTCGTCACTGTTAAATCATCCGTGCGACCGGCATGGTCATTACCTGCTGTTAGAGTATGATTGACAGTGTTGGATCAATGTCATCGTTCTTTACCACGGTTTAGGCTACGATTTCTCCGTAATTCGGGCAGGGGTGAGATCAACGAAGGGTAGTCGGAAAAGAAAGCTAACCAGGAGAGCTTGCAGTTTGGCAATGATCAGCAGCCCTAGTGCCACCTGCTCGCTATATATGAAAGTGACAATAACTTCGTATCGAACCAAAATATGACGATAATGGCGGTTATCGACAGTTGCGGTCACAGTACTGTTTACTAATTATTACGTCTACTCTTACCTAAAGCTCTGAATTCTAAGGAAGGCACTTCTTGCTCGCTGCTACTATGCAATGCCAATGCAGACGCGGGCCCTCTATTAAGATCAACCCCTGTTGTTCGTCCATTAATAATGGATTTTAATAAAACTGCATTAACAATTCGGTCGGCGCAACCATTATTATAACAATGTTTACTTTTAAATTGCCACAACGCACACGTTTATTAAAGCTACCGTTTTTAACAGAGGCAACAACGATCGAGCCTTTTGTCCGCGTTCTTGACGACTGTATGGCCCCAGCGCCTCATTAGAAGCACATCATCGGATGCTTCTCCCGCATAATCTCGTACAGGGTCATTAGGCTTGTCCTTCTAAACTGGCGGTGCCCCCGGACTGGAGTAAAACGCTACGTAAGGAAGAGTACGAACACCCTTAATGACAACGTTGGCTAACGACGATTTGAGCCAGAGTTGATTTATTGGTCATCTCGTATCTAACAGGGGGTGAAATAGACGAAAATTTCAAGGACAATCTTTTTTGGTGATATAACAATGCCAGGCAAACTGGTAGTCTTTGTGGTTGTCGAGATTTTCGTAATAAGAGATGCTGTGTCAACCTATGTGAATCACGGCATTCAACATTTTAGGTAGGCTCACGGGAGCCTTTCGAGTCACTTTCTGTTTCCATCTACAACCCGTCCATATGCCGTATGGAAGCCACCATATATATAATGGCGATTATCTTTATAGCAATCAATTGAAGCACTCTTTATCTAGAATTTCAACTCGGATACGTATCAGCAAATCTTATCCCTTTGTATACCCCAAAGCTAAAAGCAGGTGATTTTTACAGGACACAAAATTCATTGCTTCAATGATAGTCCAAATCATGGCTGCATTAAATGCACTGGACAAACGGCAAACAATTGAGATCCGTTAATTTTCACTTAACGTCCTTACCTGACATCCTTAACAAAAAAAAAAACACTAGGCAAGCAGAGGAGCGCCTTCAAACAAAGCAGGGAAAGGCCAATTTGCGGGTAAGGCAGATAACATCAATATGGATATAATCAATATGGAATGCACATATGGGATGCATGAGCGAGCATTGCTTATTAAAAGGACTAAGGAGGGTCTTTGCTGTTTATTGAATAAAAATCACTCTTCAATAAACAGCAAAGAACGTTCTTTGTTCTTTTCGAATTGGCCATCACTTATTGTTCGTTATATAGTAACACCGTTGCTCGCGGTGTCAGGTCAACTTAGCCGCGCACGTAACTTAACGTTTGAAAAAAACATCGAATATACTTATGGCACAATGGAATCTATTTCACTTGATCTCCGGCAATCGTATTAGCACTAGTACAGCCTATTATCAGCCGTAAAGATAATAATGCCGATGGCTATCACGATGGGGGAGGAACAAAACGTGGTATCCATGAATCTCGTTGACTTTCGAGGAACCTATGCCAGAATACGCTATAATGCTAAACGGTAAAAGGAGATTCTTGTGAAAACAACGTATACGGGAATATGAATGAAGCTTTACGTAGCATGATGCGTATTGCCTAACCAAGGGTCCTGTTTTACGACCAAGTTGAGTCATGACGATAGTAATTTAACAAAGTAGCATATTTTATACGATATGCGAACATAGTCCGAGCAATTTATGTAACTTGTCCCAGTTACTAAATTGTGACGAACTTACCTGTATTTGTAATGCGGGCTCAGCTAAAGGGGAGTGCAATATATATATAGATGATGATAGCTTTCGTGTACACTGTTTGTCCGAATGCTGAATACGATCCTCTATAGATACCTTTTTTCTATATATTATGTAGTCTATTATGAGATAGTCTACGACGCGGATTGATTACGGATAACCGCAAAACTATGGTTTACAAACTAGGCAGGTCAGGTAATTTACTTGTGAGTTGCTCCATATTGATTTATTTCCTATATAAAAATATATCAAATAAATAAAATAAAAAATACATCAATCGAAAATAGTCCCTGCTTGGAGAGACACTTCCCTATTGTAGTAACTCACTAGATAGCTGGTTAATGCCAACGAAAAATACACTGAGCACTTAGTTTGAAATAGAAAAACATTAATAAAACATAGTAAACAATATTAACAAATGATGCATACATTATTCGAACTGGAACTTAGATAGTTCAGAGTCTGAAATTGATGGGTTCGTATCTTTCAGCAGCAGCTTTTCACGGGTGTCCTACTTTCGCCCACTATAAAGGTCCCGATATTTAGCAACCATGATCACTTGGCCTCTGGCACAACAACAGTGCGTGCGTCAATCAACTGATCCTTTCAAGAACATAAATAGTAAAATTCTGTGCTGGCTTTCGGACTATCCCCAAGTCGCAGATTGAACGCATGCCAGATTGACGCCTGTGTCACCTTTAGTAGGTATGCATCGTAGGTTTTCAACTAGGACGCGTACGCAGGCCCTGAGAAAGCATTTATCTTTAAGCGGAAAACGTAATTTCGCGTAGTTCAAATATTTTCTCGAAAGTTCGACTACAATAAACAAGCGGTTCGCCATAAACCGCTCTGTAATGATGTCAGTCGGCTCACAAGCGTTGTAGGTTAAATGCATTTATTTGCTCCCTGTTTCTGCGAAATCCATATATACTCGTTCGTATATAGTTTAACGGCTGCGTCCGATCGACGAATCTTCAAATTATTACGCTTCTGACCCGCAAGCTTGACCCTACAAATTAGGTTCCATCATGCAACAGACGTACACAATCAGGCCCAGTCTGCAACGCACATGATACACTCGAAGGCATAGCACAATCACGCCGTGCACTAGAGCAGTACGTGAGTTTCAGCTCATCCAAAAGACTGCTTGCAGTCTCGTTCTTTCTAGTCCATAAAAATGCGCGGCAAAAACAAAGCTACCAGTCAACAGCTGTGCTTATTTACGTATGAATAACAGGTTGTATCTAATTTTGTTCGACTCCATTAAAATGTCGTCATAAAAAACGACCGCTTAGCTTGCTTTTATATTTTAATGGTAAACATTCTTGTCAAGAAGTTGCCTTTCTGTGCATTCCCCCTTTATTGTATGGCAAAAACGAATAGGTGAAAGAATCTGATGGCTTTTCGCTAATCGAACATTGTAACGATAACCGGTATAGGATGCGCTTCGATTTAGGACTTTAACGGTAAGTGCAAGTTTGCTGCGTTCGATAAATAAATAAGTTTTTTTCAGCAAGTTTCAGGTGCTTCTATGCTTGGGGCTATAAGTTTAAATAGGATTTAAGAAAACAGAAAAACGAAGAAACAGGTAGATCTCGGATCCTTTCAGCGCAGTGTAAATTCAAAGCAATACAAGCTTTATATGCGTACGATAGAGGCAGGATCGTCAACTACATATTCTACCTAGCTTTGAACGAAGCTTATAGAACTACTACGAAATATAACAAAAATCAATTCGCAGGATTTGCAATCGGCCAAAAACATAGGGCAATCGATGAGGCTGCACCAGAGACAAAATCCGACCGGCTGAAGTGAATTAGCGACGCAGGACTAGTAATTAGGCCAACAGTAACCAGTTTATAGACGGTAGTCAAGTAATGTAATCGGGGTGACGCTGATCAGCGATTTTTTGGCCCGTGGTTTGCATCTTGGCAAATTTCTGGTAGCAGCCCTCTGTACGCGAACGACCCCATGCGGCCTAAACTACCAGCTGTAAACTATGCCGATCATACTGATATGATATCCGTGTATTTGCTACCTAGGTGCCTTTGCCTTGAAGTGTTCATCGTTAATTTGTGTATAACCGTCGCCGAACCTGCTGTAGCCTACACAATGTTAACAAAAATTCAGGACATGTCCAAGGAAAGCCAAACTCCAAAAAAGGGTCTCAGATATAGCTTTACTTTATAATTTCGCAAAAAGCAAATTATTGGGTTCAATATTTTTCCTATTATCTTGTAGAGAAAGTAAATAGTCTTATTAATTAGGGCCTTCTTTGCGGCCTCAATCATTTCTGGATAGACTCAGACGACACTACATTCAAGCTGTTGCGAATAAGTGTTGTTGCTGGATTACTACTTTTGTGAGCGGTCACAAACTGTGGTCTAGAGAAACGGTAATTGCCACAATGTATGTAGTAAGACACACATTTTGTTCTAGAAATGTACCATACTACAAACAGAAAAAACAACCGTCAGGGACAACGCCGTAGAACAACCATGCCGGGTCCCGTTATGAGCTTTTCCCACAACGATCGTCTTTGCCCCCAGTGTGCCTTTGTATGATCAACTAAGCTGGCATCGATATGTATGACGGTATCTAGTTCATTAGTTCTACTATATCTCCATTTGTCTTTCTATCATGGTAGAAATAATACCTGTAGAAACTATCGAAATACACTTGTTGTCTAACGGAACGATTCAGCACTACATGAGATTATTCCGCCCTGCTAAATTGTCCTGCAAAATAGGACCTGAATAAAATATTTTCCTTATCTAAAACTCCGCTTCTACTCTTCGGCAGAGAGCATTGATTCCAGCCTTTTTGTCTTTCTAAGCAGACAAATGCAGACAATTACGTGACCCACCAAGCTATCACGGGAACATCGAACGGGAACAGCCTGAATGATCTTATCCATTACGGTGTATGAAAAAAATGGTACTGGAAGGATGCTAAACGCACCGATGGGCAAACGGCCGCTTCGTAAGGGTTCAAAAAAAAACAAGACGTCTAAACACGCAGTGGCAATCGCTTTGTCGAAGGTATCATTCCACTCGTATAGCAGTTGGTACTTGTTGTGGGACTGACATACCAATATGTGTATATATCTACAATGAGCTTATGCACGCAATACCATAAAACTAACGCTGCCATCTTAATTAGTGACATAACTCGTAGCTATATTTGTACATATAGATCTTATTAAACGTGAAAATAAATTCATTGATGTTTAAAATCTATAAGAACTTTAGATTGCCCGCAAATCCTGGGGGTTACATTGACATTGCTTCTCAAGTATTATACTGCAATATATGAGACGTACAAATATCGTTCTAGTCTGAATTTTTGAAAAAAACATCACCTTCACATTTGACTTGTTTCTCGGCTTAGCATCAAGCCGCATTTGAGGTTCTTGATGCTGGCGGTAAGTTCATATTTTTAAAATAACAAAATGTATGATATTTAACTTTGGATGACGGTGCAGCATCTATTGTAATCATCGACAAGTGTTTTGCAAAAGTTTTGTAACGGGACGTTTTTTTCTGAATGGTGTTATGGGACCTGGACGTTCCTAGACGTTTCAGAACGAACTTCAGGTCTTTCATGGATAAAAATTCCGCACCTTTTCACTGGCAAGTTACTAATCATCTGACAGTTAGTCAACGGGCACTTTAAAGTCGTCTGCGCTCCATGTGAAAAATACGGCAGGGATAGGCGTAGAGAGTAGGTTCGTGAGTCAAATAAACAAATATGGCACTGTAACTTCTGTACGAAATTGTTATTAGCGATAACATATAGCTGAAAAAAAAAACAACACCGAATTAGATATAGAAAATATGGTCGGCTTAACCAAGCGAAGTAAAACCATGGGAGAAACTTCTTAAGCCAATTTATGGTGCCTGTAGCCCGTAAGTAAACCAAACTTTGGGGGCTCTCGAAACGCAATAGAGATATAATGAGCAAAAATGATGCCCGTCCAAAAGTCCATTTTACAGCATCCGGCTCGAATTACGTATTTACGTAATTACGTAGCTTGTGATTTCCGCAGCCTTCTGCCGTACCCTAGCTTGTATCGAGTTCGAGGTGGAACAAATCAAGGGCGTTGCTACTGTTGCCACCGCCGCCGTCGCCGATAAGTCTTTGTAGGCTTGTGATGTTCGACCTAACTGTTGTGCAAACTTGTGAAAGTGGCACGGAAATCGCAAGAAGTTAAGAACGTTAGCCAATCTTAGTGCACTTAATAATAACCTTATGCAGAAAATGGGGACTATCCCGTACGAATCTGTTTCGACATAAATAGCGAATAGGAAGACATCGAAGAAACGCTCCTATAGGCGTCGCTTTAGATATTTGCTGTTGACTGGACAATTTAACTTCTGATTAACCCGATAGCTTAGTCCTTAAGTTAGCTTAACTTAGCAGACGGCTGCATACGAAGTCATTTTCAATTCACTATAATATTTCTAGCGTTCGGGGTCACCTGAATTAACTTTCTGGCGTCGAATCACCGGAAATAAGAGGTACCGCTTATCAATCGTGCTCATCAAATGTTTACGTCAATAAAGTAGTAATAAGTCGGTAGCTCGCAGGTAGGGCGGCGGGCGGTCAAATTTGCTTAAATATCTTAAGCTCAATTCGATCATCATTCGAGTATAAATTATAGGTAGATTTCAATGGAATCTTACTTAATATAGTTTAAATTAGTGTACTCCTAAGTACGTTTTGATATATTTTACTCTATTGCCATTTTATTCGGAGCAAACCTGATTTGCTGACTATCTGTGAATCTAAAAAAGAATCTTTGACACGCCATGTGACACCTTGAAACTCACATACATACATACATACATGTGCAGCAATTGATCCTGCATGGATCTATCCCTTGAAGTAAAGATACAACCTCGTGATTGATGATTCTCTTAATGTTGTGCTCTTCTGCATTCTACACAAATGAACCGTAATTTCGCAGCTTTGAATTCGTTGAAAGGCGACGCCACCTTAAAGCCGCAGGGGTGCCTGGTGTCTGCTATGTATCGATTGTCAGGTTCTACTTTTTTGGATGCTATTGTTTGTTTTGGCCGCCGGCAACTTGAGTCGCTATGTTTATTTTTCAAAAGAGTACCGATCGTCCGCTTAAGATTACCTTCTACCATATACGTTGAATTTCTCTGTTGGGACTGTTCTAACTCACTGTTGCACTTTGAAAGAACGATATATCCAGAAGTTACTCATCGCATAATGTCTGCATGAGTATAACCGGCAGACAAATTCTACCATATATTACCCATTTGCCGCATGAAATAGATATATGCTAAACTGTGCGTATATGTAGGTTTTCAGATCGGTGTTCCAGCTGAAAACCGACGATCACTAGGTTTGCCAGGTTTCTAGTGTGACCTTCTTGGCCGGCTAAGCGCGATAGAGTATTTTCTATACGATTTTACCTCCGTACTATCGTAGATTATTTGATTATCTAATTCCCAATGAAACTCCTGCTACATTTCATATGTAAATTAGCTCAACATTTTAAACTGCGATGTCACCTACCAGTTTCATTCAAGCCCTTCGGTCGAATTCACGAGTTGTGAGTACAAACACGCACATACGCACGTGAACAGACAAAAATCGTGCACCTAAAAACCGCTCTAAGGGCACGTTAATCGGCCGAACCGTATCAGCCAGTTTAAGTTGACGGTATCACGTTTTTTTTTAAAGTTTAAGTTAAACAGTTTAAGTTGATTGGTAACGCACCTTTACGAATGGAAGAAGATCCAATTAATCGCTGTCAGCCTGAGCAAAAGATACTCATGTCACTTCACGAACACAAACAAGGGGTACGACGTATGATTTTAAACACAATACGCACAATTTAAGCAGGAGATTGCTGCAAAAACCAGAATATCCATACGCGAATAGATCCTTTCTGGCTGCAAGATGTCGGAAATGCTACCAATAATGGTATTTCGATAAAATCCCAAAATTTACCTTCACGTATTCTGTCCCTATGAGCATATGACGACCGGCGGGCGGACGAGCGGTCGATTCTACGCTATTCAAAAACTTGACCAGATGAACAAACTGCAACGGGTAACAGCGACAAGGCCCCAAAGTGCCAGACTTCGCTCAAAGTAAATGTTCCACAATCAGAGTTTCACACGGAACAAGTTCACCCAATTCAGAACCATCCGAAGCTGTATGACGCTTCCACCTGTTTTTCAGACAGCATCAAATAAATACCGGTTTATTATCAGCCATTACACATACCCGCGAACAACAAGTCTATTGTACGTATCTCTCGGTCTCTATGAATGACCAGACTTTTCACAAGAACTTCGTCGTTCTTTGATGAGCATCAAGACGACGTTCTCGACCCTGAGCTCTTGTTGGCAGCTTTTCTCTAGTCGAAGCGCTGCTTTGCTCTGATGCTGTTCTCGATTCGCGCGCGTCGGGTATCTAATTATCCATCACAGGTAGACACTGTTGCCGCTCACGATGGCCTGCTAATGGTGGCAGCAGTGGAGGCCTGCGGAGTAAACCGTGCTGCTTCATTGTACGTACACATTCCACACTCCACAGCTCGCCGGGGGGAGAGAGGTCATCGCAGACGAGCTTGCGTAGGCGAGAAGGCAACCTGTATGGCTGGCGGACTGAATAGCTGGCCATCTCGCCGATCGAACTCAGCCCACCAAGTGCTGGATAACACGGAGTCGGCCAAAGAGGGCCGCTCCCTCTGTTTTAACTGATATTCACTAACATCAGTTAGGCAGCTACAATGACCGCCCCTTTGCTTCCGTTCGTCTTATTGTTGATGACAGTTGCTGTTGTTGCCGGCCTTCAGGGAGTTCCTTTGCACACGGTTCTCCTGTACCTAGGTGGCGTAGCTCATTCGCGTAGGTACTGGTGGATAGACGAACGGAGGTGCGCACGTTCAATGAGTGGCACACGGCCGTCGGCCGCACACACAGATCCCCCACAAATGCATCTCGTAGTGCTATTATACCGCTGAATAGAAATATACGCTATATTACTGACCATATAGACGGCGCCCCGGACGACTATATGCATATACGATAGTGGAATTCCTCGTATGGTTCAGTTAGCCAGCCACCCAGCCAGCTGCCGCCGTGTCCGTTACAATGACTAGGCGATTTGTGCTAGCCAACAATTGTTTGGATATAACTGTTTTCGTCTAACAATATCACGTGACTTTGCGCGAGAAGCCTATCTACTCGGTTAAGGATCTATTGCGGCTTGCTTGTTTGGTACTACACTGCAGGTCATGTGCTGGCTTGGGATAGTAACAACTTCTGAAATTTTGTCGTCCGTCCCACCTATCACCACGGAAACGTATGGAGAGAAACAAAGTGACCTCTACTTAGTGGCAGACTTTGACACCCGAATACTTTATGTACGAATGGAGCATCTGACGCAAAGAAATGGGTTTTTCGAAGCCAAAGTCCAAATCAATAGATGTTAAAGAATAGCATGCGCTTTCTAGGCTATGTTTGGTGACAGTTGTCCGCCATTTGACATTCATCATCGATCTGAAACAGAGCTCGATAGCGTTAGAATTTGTGCCAAGGAAGGGAACATGGGCACCGGAAAAAAATAACCAAAATCTCGCCTATCTACATGACGTAGCTGGTACGGCTACGTCATGTTCCGTTCTTCAGCAACGTCGTGCGGACATAGAGGGTAAGATAACAGAGGTGCTTTGTCCACTGGAAGTAGTTCTAGAGAAAGGTACTTTACACGGATTGCACTCGGCGAAATCTCCACACGAGTTTTCGAACTCGGCAGCTCGGACCGCCTGCAGACGCTCGTCCTTGTTCTCCGATCTCAATATCGTGCTCTGTGTTTCACGTATTCTCGTTTTTGTAAACTCATACTACGGTTTCTACTACTACTGCTACTGCTGCTGTCGCCACTGTGACTACCAGAATATAGACTAACGTTTCTCGACATAGAAGTACTGATCATTCATGCATGGTTGAATGGGTTAAATGCATTTGTATATTAGTTGAAATCGTCATATCCGCTAACCGGTCCTGAATTTTAGAGAGAAGAACCTTTGGTAAAGATGTGCTCGGATTTCTAGGAAAAGATACATTTCTAGCTAGGTTTTCATATGAATCTGATATTCATATGCGTGCTGGGACCGAATACTAAAGACGTGACGTGTCTGGCCATAGCTGCTTGGTGATCAAGTTTCTCGGTGGAAGAACACAACGGAGGTCGTGAGAGAGACACTGGTGGACAGCGGAAAGAAGAAACAGAATTTAACTTTCGCCGGTTTTGAAGTAGCTGGCGGTAAATGGAAGATTCGGTACGATCGTCGTGCATACATCGTAATACTTCCTGCGTCTATTAACAAACCGTTGACGTCGTAGGACCCAAGTTATTAGCCTTAAAAATAAGAAAACAGTGGATTCGCACTACAGTTCCACAATATTTTACGGCCACTATGAGTTCAAGCGATGATTCTCTCTTTGACGATAATTGAGAAACTATCGCGCTGAAGTCGTGGAAGGAAGGTAAAGAGTACAATGTACTGTGTAGGTTTTTAGCAATTTATCGATATTAGTTTGGGTTTGCTAAAGATATGTTCTACTACGTTTAAGCAGAAAACATCCCATTAATCGTATACCTAGCTCCAGTCCTGCAAGAAATGGGATGATAAACGCTGTAGACCCAAAAACGATAGACAAAATTAACAGCCGTCTTAGTTTTACCTGA